ACACCACATAGCTAGGAACCATCTGTACACTACACACCACATAGCTAGGAACCATCTGTTTACACTACACACCCTATAGCTAGGAACCATCTGTTCTACACACCACATAGCTAGGAACCATCTGTTTTCACTACACACCCACATAGCTAGGAACCATCTGTACACTACACACCCATAGCTAGGAACCATCTGTTCACTACACACCATAGCTAGGAACCATCTGTTCACTACACACCACATAGCTAGGAACCATCTGTTTACTACACACCCCATAGCTAGGAACCATCTGTTCACTACACACCCCATAGCTAGGAACCATCTGTTCACTACACACCACATAGCTAGGAACCATCTGTACACTACACACCACATAGCTAGGAACCATCTGTTCACTACACACCACATAGCTAGGAACCATCTGTTCACTACACACCACATAGCTAGGAACCATCTGTACACTACACACCACATAGCTAGGAACCATCTGTACACTCCACACCCCATAGCTAGGAACCATCTGTTCACTACACACCACATAGCTAGGAACCATCTGTACACTACACACCACATAGCTAGGAACCATCTGTTCACTACACACCACATAGCTAGGAACCATCTGTTCACTACACACCACATAGCTAGGAACCATCTGTTCACTACACACCACATAGCTAGGAACCATCTGTACACTCCACACCCCATAGCTAGGAACCATCTGTACACTCCACACCCCATAGCTAGGAACCATCTGTTCACTCCACACCCCATAGCTAGGAACCATCTGTTCACTCCACACCCCATAGCTAGGAACCATCTGTTCACACTCCACACCCCATAGCTAGGAACCATCTGTTCACACTCCACACCACATAGCTAGGAACCATCTGTTCACTCCACACCCCATAGCTAGGAACCATCTGTTCACTCCACACCACATAGCTAGGAACCATCTGTTCACTACACACCCCATAGCTAGGAACCATCTGTACACTCCACACCACATAGCTAGGAACCATCTGTTCACTACACACCACATAGCTAGGAACCATCTGTACACTACACACCACATAGCTAGGAACCATCTGTACACTCCACACCACATAGCTAGGAACCATCTGTACACTCCACACCCCATAGCTAGGAACCATCTGTACACTCCACACCACATAGCTAGGAACCATCTGTACACTCCACACCACATAGCTAGGAACCATCTGTACACTCCACACCCCATAGCTAGGAACCATCTGTACACTACACACCCCATAGCTAGGAACCATCTGTACACTCCACACCCCATAGCTAGGAACCATCTGTACACTCCACACCACATAGCTAGGAACCATCTGTTCACTACACACCACATAGCTAGGAACCATCTGTACACTCCACACCCCATAGCTAGGAACCATCTGTACACTCCACACCCCATAGCTAGGAACCATCTGTACACTCCACACCACATAGCTAGGAACCATCTGTACACTCCACACCACATAGCTAGGAACCATCTGTTCACTCCACACCACATAGCTAGGAACCATCTGTACACTCCACACCACATAGCTAGGAACCATCTGTACACTCCACACCACATAGCTAGGAACCATCTGTTCACTCCACACCACATAGCTAGGAACCATCTGTACACTCCACACCACATAGCTAGGAACCATCTGTTCACTCCACACCACATAGCTAGGAACCATCTGTTCACTCCACACCACATAGCTAGGAACCATCTGTTCACTTCACATCCCATAGCTAGGAACCATCTGTTCACTCCACACCCATAGCTAGGAACCATCTGTTCACTCCACACCACATAGCTAGGAACCATCTGTTCACTCCACACCACATAGCTAGGAACCATCTGTTCACTCCACACCACATAGCTAGGAACCATCTGTTCACTCCACACCACATAGCTAGGAACCATCTGTAGGAACACTCCACACCCACATAGCTAGGAACCATCTGTTCACTCCACACCCCATAGCTAGGAACCATCTGTACACTCCACACCCCATAGCTAGGAACCATCTGTACACTCCACACCCCATAGCTAGGAACCATCTGTACACTCCACACCACATAGCTAGGAACCATCTGTACACTCCACATCCCATAGCTAGGAACCATCTGTACACTCCACACCCCATAGCTAGGAACCATCTGTTCAGTCCACACCCCATAGCTAGGAACCATCTGTTCACTCCACACCACATAGCTAGGAACCATCTGTACACTCCACACCACATAGCTAGGAACCATCTGTACACTCCACACCACATAGCTAGGAACCATCTGTCACTCCACACCACATAGCTAGGAACCATCTGTTCACTCCACACCACATAGCTAGGAACCATCTGTACACTCCACACCCCATAGCTAGGAACCATCTGTACACTCCACACCACATAGCTAGGAACCATATGTACACTCCACACCACATAGCTAGGAACCATCTGTACACTACACACCCCATAGCTAGGAACCATCTGTTCACTACACACCCCATAGCTAGGAACCATCTGTACACTCCACACCACATAGCTAGGAACCATCTGTTCACTACACACCACATAGCTAGGAACCATCTGTACACTCCACATCCCATAGCTAGGAACCATCTGTACACTCCACATCCCATAGCTAGGATCCATCTGTACACTCCACACCCCATAGCTAGGAACCATCTGTACACTCCACACCACATAGCTAGGAACCATCTGTTCACTACACACCACATAGCTAGGAACCATCTGTACACTCCACACCCCATAGCTAGGAACCATCTATACACTCCACACCACATAGCTAGGAACCATCTGTTCACTACACACCACATAGCTAGGAACCATCTGTACAGTCCACACCACATAGCTAGGAACCATCTGTTCACTCCACACCACATAGCTAGGAACCATCTGTCACTCCACACCACATAGCTAGGAACCTCTGTTCACTCCACATCCCATAGCTAGGAACCATCTGTTCACTCCACACCCCATAGCTAGGAACCATCTGTACACTCCACACCACATAGCTAGGAACCATCTGTTCACTCCACACCACATAGCTAGGAACCATCTGTTCACTCCACACCACATAGCTAGGAACCATCTGTCACTCCACACCACATAGCTAGGAACCTCTGTTCACTCCACATCCCATAGCTAGGAACCATCTGTTCACTCCACACCCCATAGCTAGGAACCATCTGTACACTCCACACCACATAGCTAGGAACCATCTGTTCACTCCACACCACATAGCTAGGAACCATCTGTACACTCCACACCACAAAGCTAGGAACCATCTGTACACTCCACATCACATAGCTAGGAACCATCTGTACACTCCACATCACATAGCTAGGAACCATCTGTACACTCCACACCCCATAGCTAGGAACCATCTGTTCACTACACACCCCATAGCTAGGAACCATCTGTTCACTACACACCACATAGCTAGGAACCATCTGTACAGTCCACACCACATAGCTAGGAACCATCTGTTCACTCCACACCACATAGCTAGGAACCATCTGTCACTCCACACCACAAAGCTAGGAACCTCTGTTCACTCCACATCCCATAGCTAGGAACCATCTGTTCACTCCACACCCCATAGCTAGGAACCATCTGTACACTCCACACCACATAGATAGGAACCATCTGTTCACTCCACACCACATAGCTAGGAACCATCTGTACACTCCACACCACATAGCTAGGAACCATCTGTCACTCCACACCCCATAGCTAGGAACCATCTGTACACTCCACACCCCATAGCTAGGAACCATCTGTACACTCCACACCACATAGCTAGGAACCATCTGTTCACTACACACCACATAGCTAGGAACCATCTGTACACTACACACCACATAGCTAGGAACCATCTGTACACTACACACCACATAGCTAGGAACCATCTGTACACTTCACATCACATTGCTAGGAACCATCTTTGACACCATATGTTGACTCAACGCAGTAGGATCTGGTCAAGAATTCCATGTCACGTCAGACCGACATTTATCTACCTGGCACGTTCTGGCCGTCATATCTGACGTGTAAAACATTTTTCTACCTGGCACGTGCTGGTCGTCATATCTGATGTGTAAGACATGTTTCTACCTTGCACGTGCTGGCCGTCATATCTGACGTGTAAGACATTTTTCTACCTGGCACGTGCTGGTAGTCATATCTGATGTGTAAGACATTTTTCTACCTTGCACGTACTGGCCGTCATATCTGATGTGTAAGACATTTTTCTACCTTGCACGTGCTGGCCGTCATATCTGACGTGTAAGACATTTTTCTACCTGGCACGTGCTGGTCGTCATATCTGATGTGTAAGACATGTTTCTACCTTGCACGTGCTGGCTGTCATATCTGATGTGTAAGACATGTTTCTACCTTGCACGTGCTGGCCGTCATATCTGATGTGTAAGACATTTTTCTACCTGGCACGTGCTGGTTGTCATATCTGATGTGTAAGACATGTTTCTACCTTGCACGTGCTGGCCGTCATATCTGACGTGTAAGACATTTTTCTACCTGGCACGTGCTGGTCGTCATATCTGATGTGTAAGACATGTTTCTACCTTGCACGTGCTGGCCGTCATATCTGATGTGTAAGACATGTTTCTACCTGGCACGTGCTGGCCGTCATATCTGATGTGTAAGACATGTTTCTACCTTGCACGTGCTGGCCGTCATATCTGATGTGTAAGACATGTTTCTACCTTGCACGTGCTGGCCGTCATATCTGATGTGTAAAATATTTTTCTACCTAACACGTGCTGGCCGTCATATTTGATGTGTAAGACATGTTTCTACCTAACACGTGCTGGCCGTCATATCTGATGTGTAAGACACGTTTCTACCTTGCACGTGCTGGCCGTCATATTTGATGTGTAAGACATGTTTCTACCTTGCACGTGCTGGCCGTCATATCTGATGTGTAAGACATATATCTACCTGGCACGTGCTGGCCGTCATATTTGATGTGTAAGACATGTTTCTCCGACTCTGTGGGCAGCACTCTCAGAGTGTAACCCCCATCGCCCTCCTCTTTGATGTCACAGCGGGCACTGTGTCTGTTGCTATGGCAGTCAGCAGTTACTTCCCCTGTCGATAAGTGGAGATCATTTAGATAAACACACAATCACACACAATCTCACACAATCACACACAATCACAAACAATCTCACACAATCACACACATGTAAAAATATCTCAAAAAGAACACCAGAAAGAAGCAGCTATACACTGTGTTATTACGACCTCTCCCCTGTAGCATATGACCACTCATTGTTGTGAGTGAACGCTCCGGTGTATACTCAACCGCTCCTCTGTTGTGTTTATTTGTTGTGTATGAAAACTTCTATCTCGTGTTTGGTCGCTTCCATGATTGCACAGCCATTCCTGTGTTGTGTATAACCCCTCCTGTGTTGTGTATAACCCCTCCTGTGTTGTGTAACCCCCCCCCCCCCCGTTGTGTGTAACCGCTTCTGTGTTGTGTGTAACCGCTCCTGTGTTGTGTGGAACCGCTCCTGTGTTGTGTGTAACCGCTCTTGTGTTGTGTGTAACCGCTCCTGTATTGTGTGTAACCCCTCCTGTGTTGTGTATAACACCCACTGTGCTGTGTATAACCCCACTGTGTTGTGTATAACCCCCCCCCCCCCGTGTTGTGTGTAACCCTACCCCCCCCCTTTGTTGTGTGTAACAACCGCCCCCCCCCCCCCCCCTGTGTTGTGTGTAACCCCTTCTGTGTTGTGTGTAACCCCTTCTGTGTTGTGTGTAACCCCTTTTGTGTTGTGTGTAACCCACCCCTTCCCCTGTGTTGTGTGTAACCCCTTCTGTCTTGTGTGTAACCCCTTCTGTGTTGTGTGTAACCCCTTCTGTGTTGTGTGTAAACCCTCCCCCCCCTGTGTTGTGTGTAACCCCTCCTGTGTTGTGTGTAACCCCTTCTGTGTTGTGTGTAACCCCCCCCCCCTGTGTTGTGTGTACCCCCCCCCCTGTGTTGTGTGTAGCCCCTCCTGTGTTGTGTGTAACCCCTCCTGTGTTGTGTGTAACCCCTCCTATGTTATGTGTAACCCCTTCTGTGTTGTGTGTAACCCCCCCCCCCTCCCCTGTTTTGTGTGTAACCCCTCCTGTGTTTTGTGTAACCCCTCCTGTCTTGTGTGTAACCCCCCTGTGTTGTGTGTAACCCCCCTGTGTTGTGTGTAACCCCTCCTGTGTTGTGTGTAACCCCTTCTGTGTTGTGTGTAACCCATTCTGTGTTGTGTGTAACCCCGTCTGTGTTGTGTGTAACCCCTTCTGTGTTGTGTTTAACCCCCCCCCCCCGTGTTGTGTGTAACCCCTCCTGTGTTGTGTGTAACCCCTTCTGTGTTGTGTAAAACCCCTCCTGTGTTGTGTGTAACCCCTCCTGTGTTGTGTGTAACCCCTCCTGTGTTGTGTGTAACCCATTCTGTGTTGTGTGTAACCCCTCTTGTGTTGTGTGTAACCCCTCCTGTGTTGTGTGTAACCCCTCCTGTGTTGTGTTTGGTGCTTGACGTGTGCGACCCGCCTTAGGCCATCGCACGTTGTCTATGAGTACAGCAACTCCCTGGACGGGTTATACTGAATATGAATCTGTGATCCAGGGCACACGGTCATGTCTCGACTGCCTTTCCGAATATCCCCCCTCGGCAGTCTTTCCAGACATTGACGAACACTCCAGCGAATTTTTCCCAGGGCAAGTGACACCCGACCGCGCAGATACACCTTGTGCTGTACAGTGACCCCCACCACCACGCAGATACACCTTGTGCTGTACAGTGACCAGGTAGATGTGTGTTTTAGGTAGATGCACTCTACGGTGACAAATAAAGCCAAAAACAAATCCTGACCGCAGTTAGCTACCTAGCCACTGAAGCATTGCGGACTCCATTCTGTCAGTCAGCCTCCGACACTTTCCCCACATCACACTCAACGTTAGTGAACACACACAAGGTTACCGGCACCGTCTGTGCTCTTACAGATAACCTTGTCAACTATGTGTCCTTAGCCGCGCACTGCCGACCCCCACAAACACACGGGCCGCACTTTCCGAAGGAGCAAATGTATCCCCACAGTTGGTGTGAGCGACGCAGCGGTGAGTAGCGAGGGGATCTGGCCACACTCGAGGAAAGGCAATATAAATATACCTTGCATGAACAACACGTGAGATCTTGTTGCGCAGAAACTGCTGGCATCAACTAAAATTAAAAAACAAACAAACATTGGCTAGTGGAATCACGAAAACCGACTTGACCCCCCCCCCCCCCCCCCCCACATGAATGAGCTCACCTGGACCTGCCTCTCGTGTGTCTATAAATATCATCAGCTCATGATTGGCTATTCCACCCCTGAGACCTTCACCGGACACCCAGACCTTGCTTGCATCACCTTTGGCATTGACAGCGACCTTGAAGGGGCAGGTGGGCAACAGCTGGTCCGACCAGTAGACGTACAGCAGAAAGCTACCTGCACAACCAATTGTTATGTCCTGTCACTTTCTCATCAGTTTATCAAATATGTGATTTCATATTATCAGGATGTGTTTCAAACATATAATTTCCTTTTTTGATGATCAATAAACATGTGATTTCACTTTCTGGTAATCATGGTGATCGATCTTTTTAAAACATATGATATCACTTTCTGATGATCTTATTAACATGTAATATCACTTTCTGGTGCTCTTTTTAAACATCGGATATCATATTATGATAATCTGGTAAGAATGTGATACCACAATATAATGACAAACATGTGATATCAATTCTGAGAATCTAAATAAACTTTAAAAATCACATTATGATTAGAATAAACATGTGATACCACTTTTTGATGTTCTAAAAAAACCAACTGACATAATTTCTGATGATTTCAATAACCATATGATATCAGATTATGATAATATCATACATGTGATATCACATTCTCAAAAAACATGTGATATCACATTCAAATGATCTCAATAAACATGTGATATCACATTCAAATGATCTCAATAAACATGTGATATCACATTTTGCTGATCGCATTAACACATGGTATCAGATGGAAACTTTCAACGACTGAACATTGTGTTAAACGGGGTCGTATATTAAAATTTCACTGACATGACAGTGAACTATGACCTGACAGGCGGGGCTGTGAACTATGACATCATAGACATGATTATGTCCTATGATTTAAAGGACAAGACAGTGAAATTGTGACCAGGACGAGAATTGTGCCCTATGACAGCAAGGACAAGGTTTGAACTATCACCTGACAGGCGTGACAGTGAACTATGACCTGACAGGCGGGGCTGTGAACTATGACATCATAGACATGATTATGTCCTATGATTTAAAGGACAAGACAGTGAAATTGTGACCAGGACGAGAATTGTGCCCTATGACAGCAAGGACAAGGTTTGAACTATCACAGGCGTGACTGTGAACTATGACCTGACAGGCGGGACTGTGAACTATGACCTGACAGGTGGGACTGTGAACTATGACCTGCAGGCGGGACTGTGAACTATGACCTGACAGGCGGGACTGTGAACTATGACCTGACAGGTGGGACTGTGAGCTATGACCTGACAGGCGGGACTGTGAACTATGACCTGACAGGCGGGACTGTGAACAATGACCTGACAGGCGGGACTGTGAACTATGACCTGACAGGTGGGACTGTGAACTATGACATGACAGGTGGGACTGTGAACTATGACCTGACAGGCGGGTCTGTGAAATATGACCTGACAGGCAGGACTGTAATTTATGACCTGATAGGATCGTGAACTATGACATAAAATACAGGATTGTGTACTATGATCTATAATACAGTATTGTGTACTATGATCTATAATACAGGACTGTGTACTATGATCTATAATACAGGACTGTGTACTATGATCTATAATACAGGACTGTGTACTATGATCTATAATACGGTATTGTGTACTATGATCTATAATACAGGATTGTGTACTATGATCTATAATACAGGATTGTGTACTATGATCTATAATACAGTTCTGTGTACTATGATCTTTAATACAGTATTGTGTACTATGATCTATAATACAGGATTGTGTACTATGATCTATAATACAGGACTGTGTACTATGATCTATAATAAAGGATTGTGTACTATGATCTATAATACAGGAATGCGTACTATGATCTATAATACAGGATTGTGTACTATAATCTATAATACAGGATTGTATACTATGATCATTAAAACAGGATTGTGTTCTATGATCTATAATACAGTATTGTGTACTATGATCTATAACACAGGATTGTGTACTATGATCTATAATACAGGAACGTGTACTTTGATCTATAGAACAGAATTGTGTACTATGATCTATAATACAGGACTGTGTACTATGATCTATAATACAGGATTGTGTACTATGATCTATAATACAGGAATGTGTACTATGATCTATAATACAGGATTGTGTACTATGATCTATAATACAGGATTGTGTACTATGATCTATAATACAGGATTGTGTACTATGATCTATAATACAGGATTGTGTACTATGATCTATAATACAGGATTGTGTACTATGATCTATAATACAGGATTGTGTACTATGATCTATAATACAGGATTGTGTACTATGATCTATAATACAGGATTGTGTACTATGATCTATAATACAGGATTGTGTACTATGATCTATAATACAGGATTGTACTATGAATACAGGATTGTGTACTATGATCTATAATACAGGATTGTGTACTATGATCTATAATACAGGATTGTGTACTATGATCTATAATACAGGATTGTGTACTATAATCTATATACAGGATTGTGTACTATATCTATAATACAGGATTGTGTACTATGATCTATAATACAGGATTGTGTACTATGATCTATAATACAGGATTGTGTACTATGATCTATAATACAGGATTGTGTACTATGATCTATAATACAGGATTGTGTACTATGATCTATAATACAGGATTGTGTACTATGATCTATAATACAGGATTGTGTACTATGATCTATAATACAGGATTGTGTACTATAATCTATAATACAGGATTGTGTACTATTATCTGAAAGACCGGATTATGTACTATATTCTAATTGACAGGATTGCGTTAGTTAGTCAGTTTGTTAGTTATTCAGTTAGTTAGTTAGCTGGTTTGTTAATTATTTAGTTAGTCGACAGATTATCATCATTGCACATCGAACCATTCAGTCAATATGTGCTCACATCCCCTCTAGAGTATCTCCCTCGGCGTCTAGTGGCTTATAGCACAGGTTCTGTGACAGTTTTCCATTCTTCTTTGGGCCCCTATATAGGGCTCTTGTCTGGCTTCGGCACTTTTGATTTGATGTTGGTGTAGTCTCGGCAATGTTGCAGATTCACAATCATTACTTGGTGTAGTCTCGACAATGTTGCAGATTCACAATCATTACTTGGTGTAGTCTCGGCAATGTTGCAGATTCACAATCAATCCTTGGTGTAGTCTCGACAATGTTGCAGATTCACAATCATTACTTGGTGTAGTCTCGACAATGTTGCAGATTCACAATCATTACTTGGTGTAGTCTCGACAATGTTGCAGATTCACAATAATTACTTGGTGTAGTCTCGGCAATGTTGCAGATTCACAATCATTACTTGGTGTAGTCTCGGCAATGCTGCAGATTCACAATCATTACTTGGTATAGTCTCGGCAATGCTGCAGATTCACAATCATTACTTGGTGTAGTCTCGGCAATGTTGCAGATTCACAATCATTACTTGGTGTAGTCTCGGTAATGTTGCAGATTCACAATCATTACTTGGTATAGTCTCGGCAATGTTGCAGATTCACAATCATTACTTGGTGTAGTCTCGGCAATGTTGCAGATTCACAATAATTACTTGGTGTAGTTTCGGCAATGTTGCAGATTCACAATCATTACTTGGTGTAGTTTCGGCAATGTTGCAGATTCACAATCATTACTTGGTGTAGTCTCGGCAATGTGGCAGATTCACAATCATTACTTGGTGTAGTCTCGGCAATGTTGCAGATTCACAATCATTACTTGATTGGTTTCATCGAGCCACCCCTCTGAGGACATTCAGTATATCAGCCTTGTCCATTGCTCGTCCTTTTCCAACATATGCATCACTTGCCAGTCTGTCAGCTCTTTCATTGCACTTTACATCAGAAAGCCCTGGAATAAATATGAGTGACTCCACCCATTGTCTTCGTATGCAACCCTTATCGATCATCTTGAGCATATTCATCGAGTCGGTGCGAAAACATGCCAGAGTGAAAGTCTGTGTTTCTAGCCAGACTGCTGATTTAGTTGCTGCCATGACCTCCACAGTCAAACCGCTTGTCTTCAAGGCGAAGGCACCGCAGTCTTGTCTGAGAGTTTTCCCTCTGACCTGAGCCGTAATTGCCCGCGAGCTCCTGACATTTCGAATGACAGATATGTCTGTGTAGATGATCGCATCGCCCTCAGAAGAATCAAGACCCGAACTTCTGCTCCCACAACTACTGGGTTGTCTGCACTCTCTGTTCAGTCTGATGCATACTTCAAAGGACGTATGACACTCTGATGTTACACGTACTGATTCCTTCCCAAGTTCTGTGTCAACAAGTTGACAAACCTCTTGTATAATATCCACGGCCTAACCCATCTATGATATTCCTCGCTTTAATCTGTTGCCTTTTCTGTTCCTGATTTCATTGTGCAGTGGATGTTGTATATCAGCACTGATATTGTGTACTGTTATCTAAAAAACTTGATTGTGTACTATGATCTGAAAGATAGGATTGTGTATTATGGTCTGAAAGATAGGATTATGTTATATGATTTGAAAGATAGGATTGTGTACTATGATCTGAAAGATAGAATTGTGTACTATGATCTGAAAGATATGATTGTGTACTATGATCTGAAAGATAGGATTGTGTACTATGACCGAAAATATAGGATTGCGTAGTAAGTTTTTAGAGCCAGGTTTGTGTAATATGCGTAAATGACTGTCTGGTAGATTAGGTAGGTAGGTGCAGCCATTGTTGTAGTCCAAGATCACAATATCGATAATGAACAGCTGAAGCATGATAAGCAAACAGGTACAACTCCCAGAAACTGCGGTAAACTGTCTTAACAGTTTTATTATAATAGATCATATCTGGATTACTTGTGCACCCTAGTATGCTTGCACTGGGCTGGAAGTGCAGAGAGTGGCCAGCGGGTGCTACAGAGGTGGAAGTCCAACAGTTGATTCATGACAATTCAAGCCCAGGTGATCTGATTATCTGTACATACAGACAGGTCGGTGTCGAGAGGGAAGACAAGTGCCTGGGGGTTTGTAGAGAAAGGCAATGGAAAATCTTTAGTGCAAGACAGCCTAGCATATGACACTACAACATCTAGCATGTGAATGGAGGTGGAGATGGTGACTGCAACTCTCCGGTGGCTCAAGAACAAGATGCATACACATGTCGTCATTGTAACAGACTCTGAAAGCCTGCTGAGAAAGGTGAAGACAGGGATGCTTTGAGAAGATTGACAAGCTTTACTGGAAAGGTCACGGGTGGTAAGCATACTTTCGATCTTTTCTGTAGGCCATGCCGGCGTGGTGAGTAATGAAAAGAGGGCAGATTGGCTGGATCTGCACCACTGGGTGGTAAATTGGTACATGAGAAGGCAGATGTGGTTAAGGCCCTTTAGGAAAGCAACGGAAACAAGTAAAGAATTATTATGGCCTGGAGAGAATGAGGCACCTGGGTGTAACCAGAGGGTTTGGCCGGCTCACAACACTAAGAGGAAAGGCAAGACGGACATATAACCAGATCGTGACCAGTACCATTCGTATTGGAACCTGTGCTAGCTGCTCAAGATGAGGACAGAGCACGCATGGGAATGCCATGAGTGCTGTGATGTCAATTCTTATCTCAGGTCAACTCAACTTGTGCACCCTATTAAACTGTCGTTTATAAAACACGAGCTCTGAGTTCATTGGACCTGCTATATCAAAACTCCAGGAAAGTGTGAATAGTGTCATAAACTGGGCCAACAAATGGGGCCTCGAAGTAAACAGGAACAAAACTGTAGCAACACTCTTCTCATTGTCTACAAAGGAGGAAAAGTTTACATTAAAATTCAACAATGATGCTGTTCCACGCTCCAATACCCCAACCTTCCTGGGAGTCAAGCTTGACAGTCGTCTAACATGGAAACATCACATACTAGAAACTAACAAAAAAGCCATGAGAAAACAAGGTGTGATGAAGAAATTGGCAGGCACCACTTGGGGAGCAGACAGTTGTATCTTGAAGCAGGTATACACCGGCACAGTCAGACCAACTCTCGAATACGCATCATCGTCATGGATAACAGCAGCCCATTCCAATAAACAGATACTAGACAAAACGCAAAATAGAAGTCTGCGCACAATTCTGGGAGCCATAAAATCTACACCTATTGTAGAAATGGAAAAGGCAGCCAACATCATCCCCTTAGAAGAAAGAAGAAGGACAAAAGCAATTCTATATGCTGAAAAAATGAAGAGAATGTTAAACCACCCATTACACGAAAAATTGGCAGCCCGGACAAAAAACAGAATAAAGCGCACAAGCCTAAACCATCTAACGAAGGAATTTGGAAAGTCATTCTCTTCACTACTTAACCAACAATGTACACATGAAGAGCTATCTTTCGATCTCTGGGACTCCGAATTATTGACACTCAATGTGTCAACATCCATCCCGAACCTGGGAAACAAAGATGCTGAGCCCGCTTTTGTGAAGAAAGCACTCACAATGGAACACCTCAACAACATGTTCCCACAGGACAGCTGGACAAGAATCTACACGGATGGATCAGCAAAAGAGGCAACTACGAATGGTGGGGCAGGTGTCTACATAAAACACCCAGATGCCACTACTGTGTCCCTAGCAGCCCCCACCGGACGAACTTGCTCTAACTACAAGGCAGAACTCTCAGCTCTATTGATGGCAGCACAGTATATGAACAATCTGCAAATCACCGCAGGCAGGATAGTTTTTCTCACTGACTCACTGTCAGCTGTACAGGCCCTTGAGTCCAAACCTACCGACAGCACACTACAAAGTATAACACAGGAACTTGCTATGTTGTCAAATAAGGCAGAAACTCACTTGCAGTGGATTCCGTCTCACTGCGGCATCAAAGGCAATGAAAGCGCAGATGCTTTAGCCAAGGAAGGCAGTAACAAACTACAGACCTACCAGCCACTATCTTTTCCTGAAGTCAAAACTCTCATTAAGAGAAAATCAGAAACAGACTGGAAAAACAACACTGGTTATGACCACGGAAAAGATTTTCTGAGACACTTGAACAGAACAGACCAAGTCACAGTTTTTCGCTTACGCACTGGACACTGCAGACTCAATAAACACTCATATAAATTAGGTATGAGCCAAACAGCTCTCTGCCAGTGTCTTCGTGCTGAACAGACTCCAGAACATGTCCTGCAAGACTGTCCTCTCCTGGCGGAGCTGCGGAGCGACATATGGCAACACCCAGTAGAACTGACAACTAAGCTTTGGGGAAACCTAAGAGACCTTGAAAAGACATCCCAGTTTATGACCCACAGTGGATTATGCGCATGACCAGAGATCGCTGAAGAAGAAGAAACACGAGCGCGAGTGTCAGTGTGTCTGTGTGTGTGTGTGTGTGTGTGTGAGAGAGAGAGAGAGAGAGAGAGAGAGAGAGAGAGAGAGAGAGAGAGAGAGAGAGAGAGAGAGAGAGAACCATAAACGCGTAGTTTTCAGAAAATAGTGTTAAAATCAAATGCAAAATTTTGACCAACAACCAGACAAACAAAATAGACCTAAATAAATAGTAAACAGTGCAAAACACTCGCTCAGCTTAACAGATTGCAAAATCATTCTGAACATCCCCATCAATGTCTATTAGGAAAATGATCAAACCAACTAGCAGGTGACACACAGAGACAACAAAACAACCAGAGCCTGATAATCATGATGTGAGAGCTGGTATCATCGACATTACATGTCCCAATGGCAACACAGACACGGACACTCAATAGTGGTAGAGATAACGCGTCAACGCTGCTATGTCAAACTGCACTAAATAATAAACCTTTTCCCGTGTATGTTTAGGCCTCATTGGGAGGGGGGGGGGGGCGAGAAATGTCTGACAGCAGACCAGACAAAATGATGGTAGCATAGCTTAGAGAAATCATCTTAATTTCAAAATACTGACAGCAGACCAGACAAACAGCTATGCAATTAAGGTAGACACACAATTAATTGGGCGACAAGTGGGAAAAAAAGGATGAAATAAACAAATAAAAGAAAGAAAGACAAATTTAAAGGAATTATTTTCAGTCACAATGTACCTGGCACTGTCGATGTGTATCTACACAGGTACCTGTCATACTTCAGTGCCTTCATGACCACAGGTAGATCTGCATGAATGCCTTGCATTCTCACCCTAGGCGCACCTGAAACAAGTTGTTCATGCGTCTGTGTGGGTGTTTTTTTTTTAAATATTTTATTTTCTATCTTGTCTCTCTCTCTCTTTCTCTCGCGCGCGCACACACACACACACAGACACAGAGACTTATCTATATATCTATATATCTCACATAACCAATGCATATCAATGCACACAACAGAGCATATGGTTTGGCCATGCAACAAGACTGACATCAATTAGGGCACCAAAGAAAGCAATGTTGTACAGATACAGTAGGGACAGCGGCCGACCACGCAGAACATGAAACACAGAAACACAAGAGACACTAAAACATATAGACGAAATATGGGTCACACACACCTGGGACAGACATCTAGGATACAAACTTGGGATACACAGCCTGGGACACACACTTCAGGGACACAAACATCAGGGATACAAACATAAGGGGCACAAAAATCAGGGATACAAACATAAGGGACACAAACATAAGGGATACAAACATAAGGGACACAAACATCAGGGATACAAACATCAGGGATACAAACATAAGGGACACAAACATCAGGGATACAAACATCAGGAACACAAACATCAGGGATACAAACATCAGGGATACACACATCAGGGACACACACATCAGGGACACACACATCAGGGATACTTACATCAGGGACACACACATCAGGGACACATACATCAGGGACATTTACATCAGGGACACACACACATCAGGGACACACACATCAGGGATACTTACATCAGGGACACACACATCAGGGACACACACATCAGGGACACATACATCAGGGACACATACATTAGGGATACACACATCAGGGATACAAACATTAGGGATACAAACATCAGGGGTACACACATCAGGGACACACACATCAGGGACATACACATCAGGGACATACACATCAGGGACATACACATCAGGGACACACACATCAGGGACACAAACATAAGGGACACAAACATTAGGGATACAAACATCAGGGATACACACATTAGGGACACACACATCAGGGACATACACATCAGGCACATACACATCAGGGACACACACATCAAGGACACACACATCAGGGACACATACATCAGGGACACATACATCAGGGATACATACATCAGGGATACATACATCAGGGACACATACATCAGGGATACATACATCAGGGATAATACATCAGGGATACATACATCAGGGACACAAACATTAGGGATACACACATCAGGGACACAAACATCAGGGACACACACATCAGGGACACAAACATCAGGGACACACACATCAGAGATACACACATCAGGGATACATACATCAGGGACACACACACATCAGGTACATTTACATCAGGGCACACACATCAGGGACATTTACATCAGGGACACATACATGAGACACACAGGCATTGGATTACACACATGGGACACATACACACCCAGGATGGACACACATGGGACATAGACACCTGTAATGCCCACATATAGGGCATATACACACCCAGGATGCTCACATATGGAACATACACACACATGGGAGCAAACACACAGGACATACACACCTGGTACGCACACATATAGGAAATACAAACACCTGGGACACACACCTGGGACGCACACACATACATCTAGGACACACACCTGGGTTACACACTTGGGCCACACACCTGGGACGAACACACACATGGCATATACACATGGGCCACACACATACCTGGATCACACACATGGGATACACATACACCGGGAACGCACACACACACACTTAGAACACACACCAGAGATGCACACACACACATGGGATATACATATGGGACACACACCTGGGACTCACATACACCTGGGACAAACAGACACCTGGGACACACACACTCCTGGGACAAACACACACCTGGGACAAACACACACCTGGGACAAACACACCTGGGACTCACATACACCTGGAACACACATTCACTTGGGACACACACTCCTGGGACAAACACACACTTGGTACAAACACATCTGGGACTCACATACACCTGGGACAAAGACACACCTGGGACAAACACACACCTGGGACAAACACACACCTGGGACAAACACACACACATTGGATACACACCTGGGCCAGCTTGCATGCCATTGATGATGAACTCAGCAGGGACTGTGGCTCTTGCTGCTTCTGCTCCATGACCCTCAACTCTGACCTTGCTGGCATCTATAGGAAGGGGTGGGCCCGGACAGTAAGCGTGTAGAGGGCTGAACTCCAAAGGCACATGTGACCAGTAAAGATGGATGTAATGATCTCCTGTTGGTTGTATACAATCATATGCACAGCATTAAACAGCAAGATCCCGTAGACTTCTATAGACTGATCGAGGCATCATTGGTTTGGTGGTCAACGTCATTTAGGTCACTTTTATTTCCCAGGACATTTTCAGGAACCATTTAGGCTGGAATGGCAGTGAAAGAAGTGTTTTTCTTCCCGAAATCTGCAAGGCGACCGGCATCCTGTTGCAGCAAATTCGCTTTAATACATGTACCACTCATGTCCCCCATGAACACATCCTTATATTGCACTAAAGGCTAATCTCGACATGTAGAAGTACTCCAGGAAGCAGCGAACCCAACACGGGGATTCAGGTCACTAGAAGCAGTTCCCCTTTCACTGTTTTGGCCTTTTCTGACCTTCTAGACACTCAAGAAAAAAAGACAATAGGCTCAAAAGGGGCAAATCATGGCTAGGTAGGGCAGGGGATAATGTCATGCAGGTCTGCAGCCTTACGGACATCCATCCAGGTTAGGAATGGATACCTGAGTCTATAACGCCCGGTTTCACATTCTCATGTGTCGTGACACTTGATAGGAGTTGTTGAGTGCAGAATCCCGCTTTTGTCAACGGCGAGGTATGCGCGCTTATCAGTGACAAGTCAGATGAGACAAATGAGACATCTTCACAGACGGGTCCGTTATACGAGGACATACGAGGACATACGAGTGCATGGGTATTTACAGCTCGCTCTTCAGGCAAATCAGTTCAAGAACCCAGCGGTGCCTTTTCCATGACTACCAGCAGCATGAAAATGGAGGTCATGGCGATGACATGAGCTTTGGGGGGGGGGGGGGAGGGGGCTAGAATTACAGGATTTTCCGGCGTGTGTATGATAGTGATTCCTTAAGCATGATCCAGCGGGTCGAGGCAGGCTTGTAACGCAGACAGTGGATTGAGTAATTGCAAAACTCTCCTGTTTGTGCAGGTAGCTTCATATTTGTCCAAGGGTATGCAGGCGTTGTTGGTAATGAAAGAGCTGATAGACTGGCAGGCACCGCATTAATCAAAGATGGCTGCCCATGGATCACATAGACCAGGACGTTCTGAGGATTTTGGAAGCAACATGTTCACATCACTGCTACGAATACGAGAATTGAAAGTAATGATTGGCACAGCCAAGCATGAGAAGCCTACCGGACGCACAAGAAGTTTTGTCAACCAGCAAAGGACTGGCACTAATAACCGCGCGATGCTGATGAATATATTGAAAGGGGAATCTGAGCAACTATTGATGTGCCCGGAGTGCTGTGAAGATAATCCATTCACAACTCAAAAATGTCAAGTGGAAATGTTTAGCATTATTACTGTCAACAATAATCTTGTCAAGTTTACCTGTTTGGAATTATTTCTGTCAATAATTCTGGGGCTAAGGGTCATCTGTTCAGGATTATTCCTGTCAATATGAGCAGTGTAAATACTGCTGGTGGTTGCGAAACTTCAGTGTAGCGTCTCCCTGGGTCAACTTTGGAAACCTCCAAACGACAACTTCAGTGTAGCGTCTCCCTGGGTCAACTGTGGCGGCCTCCAAACGACAACTTCAGTGCAGCGTCTCCCTGGGTCAACTGTGGCGGCCTCCCAACGACAACTTCAGTGTAGCGTCTCCCTGGGTCAACTGTGGCGGCCTCCAAACGACAACTTTAGTGTAGCGTCTCCCTGGGTCAACTGTGGCGGCCTCCAAATAACAACTTTAGTGTAGCGTATCCCTGGGTCAACTGTGGCGGCCTCCAAACGACAACTTCAGTGTAGCGTCTCCCTGGGTCAACTGTGGCGGCCTCCAAACGACAACTTTAGTGTAGCGTCTCCCTGGGTCAACTGTGGCGGCCTCCCAACGACAACTTCAGTGTAGCGTCTCCCTGGGTCAACTGTGGCGGCCTCCAAACGACAACTTTAGTGTAGCGTCTCCCTGGGTCAACTGTGGCGGCCTCCAAATAACAACTTTAGTGTAGCGTATCCCTGGGTCAACTGTGGCGGCATCCAAACGACAACTTCAGTGTAGCGTCTCCCTGGGTCAACTGTGGCGGCCTCCAAACGACAACTTTAGTGTAGCGTCTCCCTGGGTCAACTGTGGCGGCCTCCAAACGACAACTTTAGTGTAGCGTCTCACTGGGTCAATTGTGGTGGCCTCCAAACGACAACTTGAGCACAACGATGACATGACTGTGAAGGCAATGGGGCCACCCTGACTGCGAGGACAATGTAACACATCTACTGTTGCAGGCTGCGAGCACTGCCAGTATTGCATTGTCCAGCATGATGATCGAATGGTAATGATAATTTCTAGATGATTGTACGAGTAGATTGTTTCATGATAATTTAGTCATGATTGTTTCATGATAATTTAGTCATGATTGTTTCATGATAATTTAGTCATGATTGTTTCATGATAATTTAGTCATGATTGTTTCATAATAATTTAGTCATGATTAAAACAGATTTTATGTTCAATTGATAATGATTTAATGCCCAAACAAACATACAGTAATCCATTGTCACACACAACACGGTAACAGGATAATTTAATGATTACCTAATTCACCCACACATATTTACACATTATCCCACACCATACCATTCAATATCATGATAATTTACCTACACACACACATATCAACACATTGTCACATATTTTGTAGGAACTAGACGAGGTAATAAAAATACTGCACAAAATTTGGAGTTTGCATGCAGACAAGTTGCTTGCAAGTTTGTATATCAGCAATCATGACAGCAGCTAGTATGTATCCCAAACTCTGCAGTACGTTATCGTTTCACGTAATGTGTACATATGACATAGAAACATATATATATATATATATATATATATATATATATATATATATATATATATATATATATATATATATATATATATATATATATATATATATATGTGTGTGTGTGTGTGTGTGTGTGTGTGTGTGTGTGTGTGGTTTGACAACAGTCGATCATTCTATGTGTAAATTATCAAGTCACAAAGTGCCGCAACCAGCAAATACAGGACAAGTTGAAATCAGTTTATATCGATAAGCACTGACTTTGTTAGATAACATTGTTAGGCTACAGAACAAAGCAACCAACCTTCGTGCAATGTCACAAATGATACAGTCCCTCGGTGTTCCGTTTGACTGATGTCAACTGGTAACTTCCCTCCTGGACTAAGCACTTCAGCTTTGAATATACCTGCCAGTCAAAGATATAACTCAGATCACACTCCAAAATGCACAGGTTTGTGATAACAATGGTCAAGGAAAGAAGAATGATGTTTACAGTGTATCAAACCTTGCTCATCCTGGTTATGGCTTGTAGACTTGGAATGCTCATCGTACTAAAGTGTCATCTGATGCAGGCTCATCGTACTAAAGTGTCATCTGATGCAGGCTCATCGTACTAAAGTGTCATCTGATACAGGCTCATTGTACTAAAGTGTCATCTGATACAGGCTCATTGTACTAAAGTGACATCTGATACAGGCTCATTGTACCAAAGTGTCATCTGATACAGGCTCATTGTACTAAAGTGACATCTGATACAGGCTCATTGTACTAAAGTGTCATCTGATGCAGGCTCATTGTACTAAAGTGTCATCTGATGCAGGCTCATCGTACTAAAGTGTCATCTGATACAGGCTCATTGTACTAAAGTGACATCTGATACAGGCTCATTTTACCAAAGTGTCATCTGATGCAGGCTCATTGTACTAAAGTGTCATCTGATACAGGCTCATCGTACTAAAGTGACATCTGATACAGGCTCATTGTACTAAAGTGACATCTGATGCAGGCTCATCGTACTAAAGTGTCATCTGATACAGGCTCATCGTACTAAAGTGTCATCTGATACAAGCTCATCGTACTAAAGTGACATCTGATGCAGGCTCATCGTACTAAAGTGTCATCTGATACAAGCTCATCGTACTAAAGTGTCATCTGATACAGGCTCATCGTACTAAAGTGTCATCTGATACAGGCTCATTGTACTAAAGTGACATCTGATGCAGGCTCATCGTACTAAAGTGACATCTGATACAGGCTCATTGTACTAAAGTGACATCTGATACAGTCTCATCGTACTAAAGTGACATCTAATGCAGGCTCATCGTACTAAAGTGTCATCTGATACAAGCTCATCGTACTAAAGTGTCATCTGATACAGGCTCATCGTACTAAAGTGTCATCTGATACAGGCTCATCGTACTAAAGTGTAAGCTGATGCAGGCTCATCGTACTAAAGTGACATCTGATACAGGCTCATCGTACTAAAGTGTCATCTAATACAGGCTCATTGTACTAAAGTGACATCTGATACAGGCTCATCGTACTAAAGTGTCATCTGATACAAGCTCATCGTACTAAAGTGTCATCTGATACAGGCTCATTGTACTAAAGTGACATCTGATGCAGGCTCATCGTACTAAAGTGACATCTGATACAGGCTCATTGTACTAAAGTGACATCTGATACAGTCTCATCGTACTAAAGTGACATCTAATGCAAGCTCATCGTACTAAAGTGTCATCTGATACAAGCTCATCGTACTAAAGTGTCATCTGATACAGGCTCATCGTACTAAAGTGTCATCTGATACAGGCTCATTGTACTAAAGTGTCATCTGATACAAGCTCATCGTACTAAAGTGTCATCTGATACAAGCTCATCGTACTAAAGTGACATCTGATACAGGCTCATCGTACTAAAGTGACATCTGATGCAGGCTCATCGTACTAAAGTGTCATCTGATACAAGCTCATCGTACTAAAGTGTCATCTGATACAAGCTCATCGTACTAAAGTGTCATCTGATACAAGCTCATCGTACTAAAGTGACATCTGATACAGGCTCATCGTACTAAAGTGACATCTGATACAAGCTCATCGTACTAAAGTGTCATCTGATACAGGCTCATCGTACTAAAGTGACATCTGATACAAGCTCATCGTACTAAAGTGTCATCTGATACAAGCTCATCGTACTAAAGTGTCATCTGATACAAGCTCATCGTACTAAAGTGTCATCTGATACAAGCTCATCGTACTAAAGTGACATCTGATACAGGCTCATCGTACTAAAGTGTCATCTGATACAGGCTCATCGTACTAAAGTGTCATCTGATGCAGGCTCATCGTACTAAAGTGTCATCTGATACAAGCTCATCGTACTAAAGTGTCATCTGATACAAGCTCATCGTACTAAAGTGACATCTGATACAGGCTCATCGTACTAAAGTGACATCTGATACAGGCTCATCGTACTAAAGTGACATCTGATACAAGCTCATCGTACTAAAGTGTCATCTGATACAAGCTCATCGTACTAAAGTGTCATCTGATACAAGCTCATCGTACTAAAGTGACATCTGATACAAGCTCATCGTACTAAAGTGTCATCTGATACAAGCTCATCGTACTAAAGTGTCATCTGATACAAGCTCATCGTACTAAAGTGACATCTGATACAGGCTCATCGTACTAAAGTGACATCTAATACAGGCTCATCGTACTAAAGTGACATCTGATACAAGCTCATCGTACTAAAGTGACATCTAATAGAGGCTCATCGTACTAAAGTGACATCTGATACAAGCTCATCGTACTAAAGTGACATCTAATACAGGCTCATCATCGTACTAAAGTGACATCTAATACAGGCTCATCGTACTAAAGTGACATCTGATACACAGGCTCATCGTACTAAAGTGACATCTGATACAAGCTCATCGTACTAAAGTGACATCTAATACAGGCTCATCGCTCATCGTACTAAAAGTGACATCTAATACAAGCTCATCGTACTAAAGTGACATCTAATACAGGCTCATCGTACTAAAGTGACATCTAATACAGGCTCATCGTACTAAAGTGACATCTGATACAAGCTCATCGTACTAAAGTGACATCTAATACAAGCTCATCGTACTAAAGTGACATCTAATACAGGCTCATCGTACTAAAGTGACATCTAATACAGGCTCATCGTACTAAAGTGACATCTGATACAAGCTCATCGTACTAAAGTGACATCTAATACAAGCTCATCGTACTAAAGTGACATCTAATACAGCTCATCGTACTAAAGTGACATCGTACTAAAGTGACATCTAATACAGGCTCATCGTACTAAAGTGACATCTGATACAAGCTCATCGTACTAAAGTGACATCTAATACAAGCTCATCGTACTAAAGTGACATCTAATACAGGCTCATCGTACTAAAGTGACATCTAATACAGGCTCATCGTACTAAAGTGACATCTAATACAGGCTCATCGTACTAAAGTGACATCTGATACAAGCTCATCGTACTAAAGTGACATCTAATACAGGCTCATCGTACTAAAGTGACATCTGATACAAGCTCATCGTACTAAAGTGACATCTGATACAAGCTCATCGTACTAAAGTGACATCTAATACAAGCTCATCGTACTAAAGTGACATCTAATACAGGCTCATCGTACTAAAGTGACATCTAATACAGGCTCATCGTACTAAAGTGACATCTAATACAAGCTCATCGTACTAAAGTGACATCTAATACAGGCTCATCGTACTAAATTGACATCTAATACAGGCTCATCGTACTAAAGTGACATCTAATACAAGCTCATCGTACTAAAGTGACATCTAATACAGGCTCATCGTACTAAAGTGACATCTAATACAGGCTCATCGTACTAAAGTGACATCTGATACAAGCTCATCGTACTAAAGTGACATCTAATACAGGCTCATCGTACTAAAGTGACATCTGATACAAGCTCATCGTACTAAAGTGACATCTGATACAAGCTCATCGTACTAAAGTGACATCTAATACAAGCTCATCGTACTAAAGTGACATCTAATACAGGCTCATCGTACTAAAGTGACATCTAATACAGGCTCATTGTACTAAAGTGACATCTAATACAAGCTCATCGTACTAAAGTGACATCTAATACAGGCTCATCGTACTAAATTGACATCTAATACAGGCTCATCGTACTAAAGTGACATCTAATACAAGCTCATCGTACTAAAGTGACATCTAATACAGGCTCATCGTACTAAAGTGACATCTAATACAGGCTCATCGTACTAAAGTGACATCTGATACAAGCTCATCGTACTAAAGTGACATCTAATACAAGCTCATCGTACTAAAGTGACATCTAATACAGGCTCATCGTACTAAAGTGTCATCTGATACAAGCTCATCGTACTAAAGTGTCATCTGATACAGTCTCATCGTACTAAAGTGTCATCTGATACAGGCTCATCGTACTAAAGTGTCATCTGATACAGGCTCATCGTACTAAAGTGTTATCTGATGCAAGCTCATCGTACTAAAGTGTCATCTGATACAGGCTCATCGTACTAAAGTGTCATCTGATACAGGCTCATCGTACTAAAGTGTCATCTGATACAGGCTCATCGTACTAAAGTGTCATCTGATACAGGCTCATCGTACTAAAGTGTCACCTGATGCAGGCTCATCGTACTAAAGTGACATCTGATGCAGGCTCATCGTACCAAAGTGTCATCTGATGCAGGCTCATCGTACTAAAGTGTCATCTGATGCAGGCTCATCGTATTAAAGTGTCATCTGATGCAGGCTCATCGTACTAAAGTGTCATCTGATGCAGACTCATCGTACCAAAGTGTCATCTGATACAGTCTCATCGTACCAAAGTGTTATCTGATGCAGACTCATCGTTTTGTAACACAACTGTCCGATATTAGTAACACAACCGTAACATACCAGTAACACAACTGTGCCATACCAGTAACACAGCTGTCCCATACAGTAACACAACCGTCCCATACAGTAACACAACTGTCCCATACAGTAACACAACTGTCCCATACAGTAACACAACTGTCCCATACAGTAACAAAACTGTCCCATACAGTAACACAACTGTTCCATACCAAAAACTGTCCCTTACCAATAACACAACTATCCCATACAGTAATACAACTGTCCTATACCGCTAACACAACTGTCCCATAACAATAACACAATTGTCACATACCAGTAACACAACTGCCCTATACCAGTAAAACAACTGTCACATACCAGTAACACAACTGACCTATACCAAGAACACAACTGTCCCAAACAATATCACAACTGTCCTATACCAGTAATACAACTGTCCCATACCAGTAACACAACTGTCCCATACCAATAACACAACTGTCACATACCAGTAACACAACTGTCCCATACCAATAACACAACAGTCACATACCAGTAACACAACTGTCCTATACCAATAACACACCTGTCACATACCAGTAACACAAGTGTCCCATACCAATAACACAACTGTCCCATACCATAACACAACTGTCCTTTACAAGTAACACAACTGTCACATACCAGTAACACAACTGTCCTATACCAGTAACACAATTGTCCTATACCAATAACACAACTGTCCCATACCAGTAACACAACTATCCCATACAAATCACACAACTGTCCTATACAAGTAACACAACTGTCCCATACCAGTAATACAACTGACCCATACCAGTAACACGACTGTCCCATACAAGTAACAAAACTGTCTCATACCAATGAAACAACTGTCCTATACCAATAACACAACTGTCACATACCAATAACACAACTGTCATATACCAATAACAAAACTGTCCCATACCAATAACAAAACTGTCCCATACCAATAAAAAAAACTGTCCAATACCTGTAACACAACTGTCCCATAACAGTAACACAACTGTTCCATCCAAGAACACAACTGTCCCATACTAACAACACAACTGTCACATACAATAACACAACTGTCCCATACAATAACACAACTGTCCCATACCAAAAACACAACTGTCCCATACCAATAACTGTCCCTTGCCAATAACACAACTGTCCCATACAGTAACACAACTGTCCTATACAATAACACAACTGTCACATACCAATAACACAACTGTCACATACCAATAACACAACTGTCACAAAAAGTAACACAACTGTCACCTTACAAGTAACAAAACTGTCACATACCAATAACACAAATGTCCTATACCAATAACACAACTGTCCCATACCAACAACACAACTGCCCCATACCAATAATACAACTGTCCCATACCAGTAACAAAACTGTCCCATACCAGTAACACAACTGTCCTATACCAATAAAACAACTGTTCTATACCAGTAACACAACTGTCACATACAGTAACACAACTGTCCCATACCAGTAACAAAACTGTAATATACCAATAACACAACTATCTGATACCAATAACACAACTATCTGATACCAATAACACAACTATCTGATACCAATAACACAACTGTCACAGACCAATAACACAACTGTCCTATACCAATAACACAACTGTCCTATACTAATAACACAACTGTCCCATACCAATAACACAACTGTCACATACCAATAACACAACTGTCACATCCCAATAACACAACTGTCACATACCAATAACACAACTGTCCCATACCAGTAACACAACTGTCCCATACCAGTAACATAAATGTCCTTTACCAGTAACACAACTGTCCCATACCAGTAACACAACTGTCCCATACAGTAACACAAATGTCCCATACCAGTAACACAACTGTCCCATACCAGTAACACAACTGTCCCATAACAGTACCACAACTGTCCCATACCAGTAACACAACTGTCTCAAACCAGTAACACAACTTTCCTTTACCAATAACACAACTGTCCCATACAGTAACACAACTGTCCAATACCAGTAACACAACTGTCCGGTACAGTAACACGTCCTATACCACTAACACAACTGTCCCATACCAGTAACACAACTGTCACATACCAGTAACACAGCTGTCCCATAATAGTAACACAACTGTCCTATACTTGTAACACAACTGTCCCATACCAGTAACACAACTGTCCCATGCCTGTAACACAACTGTCCCATACCTGTAACACAGCTGTCCCATACCAGTAGCACAACTGTTCCATACAGTAACACAACTGTCCCATACCAGTAACACAACTGTCCCATACCAGTAACACATCTGTCCCATACTAGTAACAAAACTATCCCATACTAGTAAGAAAACTGTCCCATACCAGTAACACAGCTGTCCCATACTAGTAACACAACAGTCCCATACCAGTAACACATCTGTCCCATACCAGTAACACAACTGTCCCATACAGTAACACAACTGTCCCATACCTGGACCAGCCAATGCCACATCAAGGTTTAACTCTGTTGGTTTGCCATACTCCAGTGCCAAGCGTCCGTTGTCATCTGTCAGCTCTCGCAGGTCCTCCACAAGGGTGACCTGTGACCTGTCTATCACGTGCACGGTGAAGGGAGACCCTAGAAAATGGTTACATTTATCAGCACCATATAATCAAGATCACCCATGTACAAGATCACTGGTCTACATGGTCATAGAGGTATAGTAAGTAAAGTAAATGGCCCTTTTCCACGATTTTAGGCGTATAGGGCTGGACCTCTATTTTTCTAGATCAATCGGCACAAGATGGGTGATATGGTCAGCATCACGCTGGCCGCCTTTACTTCGCGGGACTGCACCCGGTACCCACTGAAGGCTGAGTCAACCTGGAAGATAGTCATAAAGGTATAACAACTCAAATAACAACCCTTCATCTTGAACTTGATCAACTTTCAGAAGATTTGAGATATGCTATAGAGAACAGCGTTGTGAAGAAATGCGAGAATCATATGCTCTACCGGTACCGTTTTTTAAAGTTGTCAGTAAACAACATATCAGAGTGCAGAGTATGTAAAGAAAACAATATTACTGTAGTGTTTTATATATAGACTAGCTGTACCCGGCCACGCGTTGCTGTGGCATAGTTTAGCAAAATGGAAAAGAAAGAAAAAAGAAATCGCACGTGTCTAATATTGTTATTGTCGCAATCATTGTCTGCTCAGATATAGAGATAGCCTTTTATCCCCCTCCCCCCTCCCCCCACCACCACTAAATCCACCTACTACTCTCTCCCTCATTAAAAGGTTTTTGGAAAAGAAAGACAATAGAAATCGCACGTGTCTAATTAGTTAATGTCGCAATCATTCTCTGCACAGATATAGAGATAATCTGGTTTTCCAACTTTAGATTACGCACCTTATAATTGTGTCTTTATATTAGTGGTCGTGTAAATGGTGTTATTATTACAGTAACAACAATGATTATTTAGTTATCACATGCTAAAGCTGTTTCTATTTTTATAGGAGACGGAAGTAAAGCTACTACTGTACTTGTAAATAACAAAGTAAGTCGTAAAAAAATTAGAATAGCGGACGGAGCGTTAGTAAAATATAAACAAATTAACTAATGAGAACTTTAAAATCATATGTTAAGCTCTTTAGTTTAACAATTTTAGTCATTACCCCCCCCCCCCCCTTTTTCCTCCCTCCCATCTACCGACTACTGCTCTCTCTCTCTCTCTCTCTCTCTCTCTCTCTCTCTCTTTCTCTCTCTCTCTCTCTCTCTCTCTCTCTTCGAAGGATTTGAAAATCATCACCTGACGTTATTTTTTTTTTTTTTTTTGCTGACATTGACATCCCTGTCCATCCGGACTAAAATGGAGAGCAGGAATTGTGATAGGTAGTAAATGGGGCTAGTGTAATATTTACAACATCACCCTTCAAGTACCAGTAGCACTACTACCATGACCACCACCAGCATAGTTAAAATAATCTCACTGCTATCTGTTTTACCATCGGAGTAGACAGGGAGTCGTGAGCCAGAAGATTTGGCGCCGCATGGCTAGTGCTGTCACCACGGACTGGTCAGGTTATGATGTGTAGTTTCGCTCCCCAACAGAAGAACGCCATAACCTTACCGGCGGTCTTCGCACGAAAGCACTACGGTGTAACCGACCAACCACAACTACCACTGCTGCTGCTACTTTGAATGGGTAAGACAGTTACTGTGACTTAAAGCTCTCTCATTAAAGAGTGCCCCCCCCCCCCCCCCCTCATGTTTACCATAGCGTTCATTTACTAATTCTGGTGTATTTTTCCTGTTTTAATTGCTTTTCAATTGTGTTTTTTTTTTCCCTCTCAACTACTTCGATGAGGAAAAGAGTAGTCGGTGAATTGGGGGGGGGGGGGGGGGGCAACTGATTTCTGAGAGAGCTTTAAGTCACAGTAACTGCTTTACCCACTCAAAGTAGCAGCAGCAGTGGTAGTTGTGGTTGGGCGGTTACACCGTAGTGCTCTCATGTATGTATATATATTTGTAGACAAATATAATCTTTCTGTGGCAAGTGTCATAGCCCTATGCTGGTTGACTTGCGCACATCTTGTACACCTCTTTATTTGCAACTTGTTGTTGTTGGTGTCTGGTGTTTCTCAGTTCACTTTGGTTAATTTTAACTATGCATCGTTCTTAGATGAGATTCCTACTGATAGCGTGTTTGACTGGTTTGAAGATCATATCCAATGTTGGCTAGCAAATGGTGAGGAAGTCTGGCCAAGTTGTGCCCAGGAAAATTCATCATTCTGTGGAGCCTATAACTTGAGCTGCCTCACCTCTAAAGGGATGTTGGATGGTCGTTGGAGCTTCGCAGTACCTATAGACCAACACGAGCTGACATCTCAACATTGAGTCAAAGCGGTAACCCTAATACAGACACGTAACACCAACGTTAGCGGGAACCCTAATACAGACACCTAACACCAACGTTAGCGGTAACCCTAATACAGACACCTAACACCAACGTTAGCGGTAACCCTAATACAGACACCTAACACCAACGTTAGCGGTAACCCTAATACAGACAAGTTACACCAACGTTAGCGGTAACCCTAATACAGACAAGTAACACCAACGTTAGCGGTAACCATAATACAGACACGTAACACCAACGTTAGCGGTAACCATAATACAGACACGTAACACCAACGTTAGCGGTAACCATAATACAGACACGTAACACCAACGTTAGCGGTAACCATAATACAGACAAGTAACACCAACGTTAGCGGTAACCATAATACAGACACGTAACACCAACGTTAGCGGTAACCATAATACAGACAAGTAACACCAACGTTAGCGGTAACCATAATACAGACAAGTAACACCAACGTTAGCGGTAACCATAATACAGACAAGTAACACCAACGTTAGCGGTAACCATAATAGAGACAAGTAACACCAACGTTAGCGGTAACCCTAATACAGACACCTAACACCAACGTTAGCGGTAACCCTAATACAGACAAGTAACACCAACGTTAGCGGTAACCCTAATACAGACAAGTAACACCAACGTTAGCGGTAACCCTAATACAGACAAGTAACACCAACGTTAGCGGTAACCCTAATACAGACAAGTAACACCAACGTTAGTGGTAACCATAATACAGACACGTAACACCAACGTTAGCGGTAACCATAATACAGACAAGTAACACCAACGTTACGTGTCAGACGAACATAAAAAACTTTGGTCTTGTCTCCAGGATTGATTGATTTCTTAGCACATTCTGGTATCCTTGGCCAGGAGATTTAGTTTTTCTAAAACTGTTTGTAAGACATTTGGTGACCACTTTGGGTCCATTCGTAATCTGAGAGCTCGTACTTCTGAGTGACCGGTTGATCCAGTGGCTGTTTTATTTGTGTTTTCCGGTGGTATTTTCTGGAGGAATCTTTTCTCTAGAAAACTGTATGGGATAAGAATTTTGAGGCTGAAAGACTGAACATTGATTCTGAGAGAATTCAGGAGAACGTATGAGATTGGAGAAGGAACAGGAATCAGAACATATGAGATTCGAGAAGGAACAGGAATCAGAACGTATGAGATTGGAGAAGGAACAGGAATCAAAGCGAAGGGAAATGGAGATTGAAAAAGCAGTACGTCTGAAAGAATTAGAGCTTCGGGCACACAGAGAGGGGCACAGACCCAGATCTCCACCGTCAGAGATGGAAACCGCTTCAGCACACATCTCAACTCAAGCTATGAATTTCCATACACCAGTGTTCGACCCGAAGTTAGAAAATATCGAACATTACAGTCATAAGTTCAGTGAGCTTGCTTCTCTATATAATCTAGAGAAAGACATTCTCCAGTTGAAGTTGGCTCAGGGTTTGAGAGGAGAGGCATGGGTAATAAATCAGAGAATGCCCACTGGCACAGAGACTGATTTTGAAGCTTTGTGTCAGGCTTTGTTGAAACGTTCTGAAATGAATGCTGCCACTTACAGGCACAAGCTTAGAAATGAAAAGCAACTTAATGGTGAAACCTGTCCTTTGTTTGTCAGTCGCCTGAAGGGGTGTCTAATTAGATGGCAGGAAATGTCCAGATATTCGCCTTTCTTTGTAGATTTACAAGAGATGTACCACACAGAACAACTCCGTGACACCCCGCCGACCTGTGTACTATCTCTCTGGTTGTCACTTACATGCACTATGTACTATCTCTTTGTTGTCTTATACAAGTACTGGGTACTGTCTCTTTGGTGACACATACAAGTACTGTGTACTATCTCTTTGTTGTCTCATACAAGTACTGTGTACTATCTCTTTGTTGTCTTATACAAGTACTGTGTACTATCTCTTTGTTGTCTCATACAAGTACTGGGTACTGTCTCTTTGGTGACACATACATGTACTGTGTACTATCTCTTTGTTGTCTCATACAAGTAGTGTGTACTATCTCTTTGTTGTCTCATACAAGTAGTGTGTACTATCTCTTTGTTGTCTTATACAAGTAGTGTGTACTATCTCTTTGTTGTCTTATACAAGTACTGTGTACTATCTCTTTGTTGTCTTATACAAGTACTGTGTACTATCTCTTTGTTGTCACTCACATATACCTTGTACTATCTCTTTGTTGTCACTTTTTTTTTTCTTCTTCGCGTTCCGTTTCGTATGCTCAGATCATACCATCAGGTGACTTGCAATGTGTACTGTCTATCTGATGTTCATGTACTGTGCACTGTTTTTCTGTTGTCACAGACAGAAACTGTGAACTGTCTCTCTGTTGTCACAGACATAAACTGTGAACTGTCTCTCTGTTGTCACAGACATAAACTGTGAACTGTCTCTCTGTTGTACACAGACATAAACTGTGAACTGTCTCTCTGTTGTCACAGACATAAACTGTGAACTGTCTCTCTGTTGTACACAGACATAAACTGTGAACTGTCTCTCTGTTGTACACAGACAGAAACTGTGAACTGTCTCTCTGTTGTCACAGACAGAAACTGTGAACTGTCTCTCTGTTGTACACAGACAGAAACTGTGAACTGTCTCTCTGTTGTCACAGACATAAACTGTGAACTGTCTCTCTGTTGTCACAGACATAAACTGTGAACTGTCTCTCTGTTGTACACAGACATAAACTGTGAACTGTCTCTCTGTTGTACACAGACAGAAACTGTGAACTGTCTCTCTGTTGTCACAGACAGAAACTGTGAACTGTCTCTCTGTTGTACACAGACAGAAACTGTGAACTGTCTCTCTGTTGTCACAGACATAAACTGTGAACTGTCTCTCTGTTGTCACAGACAGAAACTGTGAACTGTCTCTCTGTTGTCACAGACATAAACTGTGAACTGTCTCTCTGTTGTACACAGACAGAAACTGTGAACTGTCTCTCTGTTGTCACAGACATAAACTGTGAACTGTCTCTCTGTTGTCACAGACATAAACTGTGAACTGTCTATCTGTTGTCACAGACATAAACTGTGAACTGTCTCTCTGTTGTCACAGACATAAACTGTGAACTGTCTCTCTGTTGTCACAGACATAAACTGTGAACTGTCTCTCTGTTGTCACAGACATAAATTGTGAAATGTCTCTCTGTTGTCACAGACATAAACTGTGAACTGTCTCTCTGTTGTCACAGACAGAAACTGTGAACTGTCTCTCTGTTGTCACAGACAGAAACTGTGAACTGTCTCTCTGTTGTACACAGACATAAACTGTGAACTGTCTCTCTGTTGTCACAGACATAAACTGTGAACTGTCTCTCTGTTGTCACAGACAGAAACTGTGAACTGTCTCTCTGTTGTACACAGACATAAACTGTGAACTGTCTCTCTGTTGTCACAGACATAAACTGTGAACTGTCTCTCTGTTGTCACAGACAGAAACTGTGAACTGTCTCTCTGTTGTACACAGACATAAACTGTGAACTGTCTCTCTGTTGTACACAGACATAAACTGTGAACTGTCTCTCTGTTGTCACAGACATAAACTGTGAACTGTCTCTCTGTTGTACACAGACAGAAACTGTGAACTGTCTCTCTGTTGTACACAGACATAAACTGTGAACTGTCTCTCTGTTGTCACAGACAGAAACTGTGAACTGTCTCTCTGTTGTCACAGACAGAAACTGTGAACTGTCTCTCTGTTGTACACAGACATAAACTGTGTACTGTCTCTCTGTTGTACACAGACATAAACTGTGAACTGTCTCTCTGTTGTACACAGACAGAAACTGTGAACTGTCTCTCTGTTGTACACAGACATAAACTGTGAACTGTCTCTCTGTTGTACACAGACATAAACTGTGAACTGTCTCTCTGTTGTCACATTTTGTTTCTACGGTGTAATGTCTCTTTGGTCTCACATGTATCTACTGGTACCGTCTATCTGGTGTCACTTACATGGTGTCATGGTGTCGTTAGCAGCTCTATGAAAGAAAAGTCTGTCCACAAACACAACTAAACCAACACCGTCAGAGCCTACACATCGGTCTTTATTATAACTTACAACAAACAGTCGGTACTTGACCCCAGCGCTGGCTCGCAAACCCTACCCCAAGTAGGGTCTAATCGCTACACGCACGGTCATCGGGGTGTTTCAGGCATCACCAGGATCTGATCCAAACTCTTTCCTACGCTTATGTACCTAACAATGGGACGGTTGTGCTTCTGCACCTAACACTGGGACGGTTGTGCTTCTGCACCTAACACTGGGACGGATTTGCTTCTGCACCTAACACTGGGACTGTTGTGCTTCTGCACCTAACACTGGGACGGTTGTGCTTCTGCACCTAACCCTGGGACTGTTGTGCTTCTGCACCTAACACTGGGACGGTTGTGCTTCTGCACCTAACACTGGGACGGTTGTGCTTCTGCACCTAACACTGGGACGGATGTGCTTCTGCACCTAACACTGGGACGGATTTGCTTCTGCACCTAACACTGGGACGGATTTGCTTCTGCACCTAACACTGGGACGGATTTGCTTCTGCACCTAACACTGGGACGGATTTGCTTCTGCACCTAACACTGGGACGGATTTGCTTCTGCACCTAACACTGGGACGGATTTGCTTCTGCACCTAACACTGGGACGGATTTGCTTCTGCACCTAACACTGGGACGGATTTGCTTCTGCACCTAACACTGGGACGGATTTGCTTCTGCACCTAACACTGGGACGGATTTGCTTCTGCACCTAACACTGGGACGGATTTGCTTCTGCACCTAACACTGGGACGGATTTGCTTCTGCACCTAACACTGGGACGGATTTGCTTCTGCACCTAACCCTGGGACGGATTTGCTTCTGCACCTAACCCTGGGACGGATTTGCTTCTGCACCTAACCCTGGGACGGATTTGCTTCTGCACCTAACACTGGGACGGATTTGCTTCTGCACCTAACACTGGGACGGATTTGCTTCTGCACCTAACACTGGGACGGATTTGCTTCTGCACCTAACACTGGGACGGATTTGCTTCTGCACCTAACACTGGGACGGATTTGCTTCTGCACCTAACCCTGGGACGGATTTGCTTCTGCACCTAACACTGGGACGGATTTGCTTCTGCACCTAACACTGGGACTGTTGTGCGTCTGCACAGCTTTGGTTAGTGTGATAAGACAGACACCCCTTCGCGAACCACCTCGCTAACACACAGCAAAATGCATAAATGAATACCAGTATAAATAAACACAATGGACTATCTATCTTTAACAAAGACTAGCACTTAAACTAGCCTACAGCCAAGCTAACACATTATCACAAAATACCTGTCGCTAACTGAAGTCAAATCTACAAACAGGTAACGGTCACAACGCCACAGGTCTCCGTCCAAGTCTCTATGTCAAATTCTTGGAAAACCGTTTCCCCGTTACTTTGGTCCAGTCCCTATCTCACCGAGAACGTCGTTGCTCCTGCATGGATGTGTTCATCACTCTAATTTTGTCAAAGTCTCCATGGGCTGTTGAACACGCAGTAGCTAAGATTCAAATAATTACTATTCCACTATTCACTATTATCGTCGCCCACTATCATCGTCGCCCAGCTTCTGAGTTGAGTGCATGGCGTAAGACTGTGAGCAACGTGTTTTTCGTTGGCACAGGAGCGGAGCAACTATGGGGTGACCCGTTTGCTATGAAGCTGAAACTAGGATTACCAGATCATACATTGCCATCTCGTAGCCACACTGGACCCTGATGCATGCACTGTATATTGCCTTTCTGGTTCACATACCTCTACACATACGGCCCTCCCGGTGAAAGCAAGAGAGGCATACAAACAGACTGCTACCGGTAGCGTCATAGTTAGAACTGTGAACTGGCTTGGGAAGCAGCAGTTGTGGTGAAACCACGCATGCCGGGATTGTCCCGAGTTCTTCACTGTTGATCTTAAACTCGGCCTAGCTTAATTCAGCCCAGCTCAACTTAACTCAACTCAGCTGAACTCAACCCACTCAGTTCAAATCAACTCAGTTCAGCTCAACTCAACCAAGCTCAACTCAACTTAGCCCAGCTCAACTCAACCAAGTTCAACTCAACTCACTCAGTTTAACGCAACCCAGCTCAACTCAATTCAAACCACTCAGCTCAACACAACACACAGATCAACCCACTCAGCTGAACTCAATCCAGTTTAACTCAACTCGACCTGTTTCAACTCAGCCCAACTCAGCTCACCTAATATCAGATAACATTAGCCTGGACCTACCAGCCACCTGCTTGCGTTGCCAGTACACGTGTACCGTGTATGTGCCAGCTGTTGTGGGAACGTAGCAAAATTCAGTCTCATCGTTGTCTTTCATTTCTCTGGAACAGGGCACTCTTTGACCACACACTGTAATGTACAACATTTAGCAATATTTACATAAAGAAGTTCTAGTTGCACAATAATATACTTATAATTACATAACGGTTTTGTGTATGCATGCATGCGCGCACAAGCGTGTGTGTGTATTTATGTTTTGGGGAACACATTGCCAGTAGAGGGACATTGCAGATAGACTAGAGCGTATTATGAAGGCTGGCTGTCTGTGAGTCTAGACACTATAGTGGTAGCATTATTTATTGACACAATACCTCAAAGCTCAAGAAACGATAGCGCACAAAACAACATATTTCAGGATGTCTGGTTGTGAACAGAACTGTGGCTTCACCAGAGACTGTAACGTTGGCAGCCAGTGAAGAACTCAGGCAGTCAGTTCTCGAGACTTAAACCATCTGAACCATGAGACAGAGCATCTAGGTGCTAGCCCACAGCCATGTCGGGTGGGTTCTTGATTCACCAGTAAATAAGTTAGTCGCAACTTCTACCACTGGGTACGACACAATAGGAACTCAGATACATTACTTAATGTAGCGAACAAATAGGTGGTCAGTTCTATGCCCAGCTGCCTTTCCTTCCCAGAAGATTCCAAGGCTGTTCTAAATGTTGATTAATAACGATTGTGTGAAGCACAGAGCTATAAAAGATGAACCTTTAGAAAACAATAAATCCCGCACCTTTGCAGGGTATAAACCCTGACCATTCTCTCTGTAAGCAAGGATGACAACCACAGCGCCACAGGTCACTAATACAAGCTACATTTTCCTAATCAAGTCCTAATCAACAAATATGAAGGAAGAAACAAATGGCAGCAAAGGGTTACCTTTAATATATAAGCGAATAAACGAGAGAGGGTTATATGGCGTTAAAAGTTATTGTATGAGAGAGGGTAGAGAGGGCATAAATGGGTGGTAACAGTTATTGTATGAGAGAGGGTAGAGAGGGCATAAATGGGTGGTAACAGTTATTGTATGAGAGAGGGTTAGGTTAGTTAGTTACGTATCATTTACTGGACGTTAAGTCTGTCTAGTTCGTGTTGTAGCGTGGTTGTAATTTCGTGCCAGTTTTTACCTTGATGGTAAACAAGGATATCATCTGCATACGACATTGTTCTGCCGAGACCTACGCTTTGTGCACTCGTGACTCTTGCTGTGTACATATTGAGGAGTCCAAGCGACAATAGTGATCCCTAGGGCGTCGAGGTTGTGATGCCCCTTCACCACATTGCAGCGACATTGTTCTTTCAAATACGGCTGCGGCGATCCAGTTGACCAATTGTTTCTATCTGCATATCCAACAGCATGGCAAATACTGCAGCATTGCACCATGTATCTCTTCCTGGTCGGTAGCCACCTAGTGTAGCGGGGACCACCTGACTCCAATGTTTGGGTCAATGTTCTAGCAACGATTATTTCCATGAGTTAATGGGCGGTAACAGGTATTGTGTGAGAGAGGGTAGGGATGGTGTTAATGGGCGGTAACAGGTATTGTGTGAGAGAGGGTAGGGATGGGGTTAATGGGCGGTAAAAGGTATCGTAACAGAGAGGGAGTAAATGAGCGGTAAAAGGTATCGTAACAGAGAGGGAGTAAATGAGCGGTAAAAGGTATTTTGTGTGAGAGATGGTACAGAGGGATATATGGGCGGTTAAAGTTATTGTGTGAGAGATCGTAGGGAGGGTTATATGGGCGACAGAAGTTATTTTGAGAGAGATAATATATAGTGGGTATACGGGCGGCAGAAGCTATTGTTAGAAAGCGGGTAAAGAGTGGGTATGTGGACGGTAAAAGTTATTGTTAGAGAGAGGGTAGAGAGTGGGTATGTGGACGGTAAAAATTATTGTCAGAGAGAGGGTAAAGAGGCGGTATATAGGCAGTAGCAGTTATTGTTAGAGAGTGGGTAGAGAGTGGCTATGTGGACGGTAAAAGTTATTGTTAGAGAGTGGGTAGAGAGGCGGTATATAGGCAGTAGCAGTTATTGTTAGAGACTGGGTAGACAGTAGGTATGTGGACGGTAAAGGTTATTGTTAGAGAGTGGGTAGAGAGTGGGTATGTGGACGGTAAAGGTTATTGTTAGAGAGTGGGTAGAGAGTGGGTAGACAGTGGGTATGTGGACGGTAAAGGTTATTGTTAGAGAGTGGGTAGAGAGTGGGTAGACAGTGGGTATGTGGACGGTAAAGGTTATTGTTAGAGAGTGGGTAGAGAGTGGGTATGTGGACGGTAAAGGTTATTGTTAGAGAGTGGGTAGAAAGTGGGTAGAGAGTGGCTATGTGGACGGTAAAGGTTATTGTTAGAGAGTGGGTAGAGAGGCGGTATATAGGCAGTAGCAGTTATTGTTAGAGAGTGGGTAGACAGTAGGTATGTAGACGGTAAAGGTTACTGTGACAAGTAAGTAAAGGAAGCATAAGGATATGGTGTCGGGGTGGGGGTAAATATACATTAAATATAACAAATAAGTAGAGGAAATATTGCTAAACGATGATCGCACCATTGTTGAGAAGGTCCACGGGACGAATGGGAAGATTCCAGACAACCCTTATGTTTTAATGCCCCCCCCCCCCCCACTCCCTAAAAAGTGATGTGGTCAGCATCACCTGGCCACTTTTATTTCTCAAAATATTTCCTGCTATCCATGTGTATAAACTGAAGAACAATAGCTGGCACAGCTGTTGGTGCCAAAGGTAAGTGTTACCTTGGAGGTCAGCAGTGATCTCCGCACCACGTCCAGGCGAACGGGCAGTGAAGTAGGTCTCCTGGCCTCGAGTGGCCTGACTGATGCCTTCCCCTGACACAAACACCTCCACATGATCCTCTACGTCTGTGTTCTTCGGGAAACCTGGAAATAAGTCAGGTAATGATACACGGGCATCAGTGATTTCCTTATATCATGTTATACATGCGTAGACAATGAGACACAGGCATCAGTGATTTCCCTATATCATGTTATGCATCTGTAGACAATGATACACGGTCATCAGTGATTTCCCTATATCATGTTATACATCTGCAGACACTGATACACAGGCATTAGTGACCTCTATAGATCACGTTGTACATCTGTAGACAATGATATACACACATCAATTATTTCCCTAGATAAGATTGTACATCTGTAAACAATGATACACGGACATAAATGATTTCCCTAGATCAGATTGTACATCTGTAAACAATGACACACGAATTTCCCTAGATCAGATTGTACATCTGTAGACAATGATACACGGACATAAAGGATTTTCCTAGATCAGATTGTACATCTGTACACAATTTTACATGGACATTAATGATTTCCATACTAGTTTGTACATCTGTAGACAATATTACACGGACATCAATGATTTTCACCTATAACGTTGTACATTTGTAGACAATGATACACAGGCATCAAGGATTTCTCTAGATCAGACTGCATATCTGTAGACAATTATACACAGGCATCAAGGATTTCTCTAGATCAGACTGTATATCTGTAGACAATTATACACAGGCATCAAGGATTTCCCTAGATCAGACTGTATGTCTGTAGATAATGATACACAGGCATCACGGATTTCTATAGATCAGACTGTATGTCTGTAGAGAATGATACACAGGCATCAAGGATTTCTATAGATCAGACTGTAAGTCTGTTGACAATGATACACAGGCATCAATGATGTCTCTAGATCAGACTGTATATCAGTAGACAATGATACACAGGCATCAAGGATTTCTAAAGATCAGACTATATATCTGTAGAGAATGATACACAGGCATCAATGATTTCTCTAGATCATACTGTATATCTGTAGAGAATGATACACAGGCATCAATGATTTCTCTAGAGCATAATGTATATCTGTAGAGAATGATACACAGGCATCACGGATTTCTATAGATCAGACTGTATATCTGTAGAGAATGATACACAGGCATCAAGGATATCTATAGATCAGACTGTATATCTGTAGATAATGATACACAGGCATCAAGAATATCTATAGATCAGACTGTATATCTGTAGAGAATGATACACGGGCATCAAGAATATCTATAGATCAGACTGTATATCTGTAGAGAATGATACACAGGCATCAAGGATATCTATAGATCAGACTGTATATCTGTAGAGAATGATACACAGGCATCAAGAATATCTATAGATCAGACTGTATATCTGTAGAGAATGATACACAGGCATCAAGAATATCTATAGATCAGACTGTTTATCTGTAGAGAATGATACACAGGCGTCAAGAATATCTATAGATCAGACTGTATATCTGTAGAGAATGATACAGAGAAGAAGTTCAGCAATTACCCAGCACTGAAGTGTTCTCCTGATCCAGGACTCTTTCGTCAGCAACAGTTAGCAGTTCAGGCTCATAGACGTGGACTTCTCCGGCGATGACCTGTTGACCACTCCCACGTATCTCATACTTCCATTTTCCTGTGAGTGATAGTGTGTGTCCAATCTTCATGTACCTATACAATTACACACGTGCATACACTTACGCACACAGACACACACACACATATGCACGCACACACACCTATATAATATCTTGAGATGTCTGTGAATAAGCTCTCACTACAAATCCCCCCCTACCCCACCCCACCCCCACCTGAAAGATTATTCTTCGCCTTCTTTATTCATTCTTTAGATCCACCGCCGCAGTTTATCAGTAAAATATCGTATGTGCTTTGTGTCCCCTTTTGTGTTCGTCAAAATGTTCACTTTCTCGTCGCCTCACACGCGCATTCATAAGTACCACAAACATTCATATGCGCAGACATAAACTGATACTGGTAAATCGACACAACGGAAGGAATCCTTATCATCATAGCCAGTCAAATATGTCTCTCAACAAATGGCATTTATTTAATAAAGTTGATATACGTTCCATTGGCATCGTCTCAAAACAGAACAAACATGTTATAAGTTAAGTTTAAATTATACAGTTAAAGTTACTTTTAACTGAACTTAATATCAGTGTTATGGCATCTTCTCGTCCAGTAGGAAGTATCAAGTGTTATATAGTATTCCCGCTCGGCTCTCTAGCGTAGTTGGCTAAACCGGATTGCGCGGAGAGCGGGTGACGAACTCCTTGTGGTCCGGATTCAATCCCGGAGCTATGCAGGAAAGCCACATTTCTCCCAGATTTACGGTATTTACAATGGAATCAAGGCCGAAAGGCTGCGATATCAATAATACCGAGCCTAAGGGTTAACAACTCATGGCTTCTGGATACTCAAACAAACAAATATTATTTGTAGTCATCGCCGTACCGCTGTAGCCACGCTTTGTTCACAGGCAGACGCGCACACAAGCACATGTACACACATACACACACACTCAAATATTGTCACACACGCGCGCACACACAGACACTCAGGTTACAAACAAATTAGACTTTTTAGTATCGTCATCGTCAAAACAAAAAGTTTATCCATGAAACTTGATGTTTGATGTTTGAACAACGGATTAACATCATGGCACAAGAGTTGTAATCCATATGTGCTCCGTTCTACTTCTAAATCAAGCCTGATTCCGAAGAATCTTAGCGCAGTGCACGAAATCCGTAGCACCGGTGAGGATCTTGAACACTTTAGGTAAATATTTAACTTCCAATGTTGCAATCCATGAACTCAAATAAGTGAAGCAAATAGGCACCACACGTCTATGAGTTGGCCAAATGGCAAAGCCGTATGTTCAACAGACGACAAATAACTCGTCCATTAGTGATCGTTGCTTTGTTTTGTGTACAGCCCGGCGACAACAGAGGGCTTTCAATTCTGCTTTAATTTCAGGAAACTGCTATTGAGAATTTGAATTGATGAGACCAGATTATGTGGGTCAAATATTTATCTGGTGCTCAGATATCCAGGAGGTATGCATGATTCGACACTGGTGTGGAAACGATGGAGACGACGAAGCTGAGCTGGGGACAAATAAAATCTCCTAGTAAGAGTCCAGTGATTTTGCAGTCCGCTGTCTCTTGACTGAACTGATAATTGTATTTGTCTACAGCTTCCAATCAATCCAGCCAGATTTAAATGGGTACGGAGAACTATATAAAGGGGACATATGATAGCGTGAAGATAGAAGGAGGAAAAACAGAAAAAAGAGAGAGAGAGAGATAAAGGAAAAAATTGTGATTGGAACAAAAGTAATAGTTCCCTGCTAAACAACAAAAACAGGAAAGTAAAGAAAAGACAGGGGTTCTTCTGCGCAGAGATCACAGATATTTCACCGAGACCCTAACTATGGATATCTGCATGGTAACGTTACATAACGCCGACCTAACTACATGGGTACACACACCTAGACAACCACGGGCTACAGATTCTAAATTAAGTCAAGCAAATTAATTATGATCACATTAAACAGTTTATTTTACTCAACATCACACCAGCGAGGTCAACAAATAACGACAACAACGTGCTCGACTAGAATCTAAAATGTTAATCAACAAACTTGATTAAATGAACGTACCACCGTCTGAAATCAGTCAGACCACGGACTTTCTCTACGGTCGCCATACCTGCTGACTGGCCCATTGTGCAAAGCAACAGTCGCTAGGTTAGGCTAGCGCAGAGTCCGTCCGGAAGTCCAAAAGAACGAAACTCTGTCAGTCAGGCCTGATTTTTCCCGCGTTAGCTTCTAACACTAATAAATGGTAATGTTTCTCCTTTGGCCTGTTGGCCATTTTAAAACCAGAATAAATCCAAGATCTTCAGGCTGCTGAACCGTATGTTTCCAGCCTGTTATAGACAGGTAAGATGTTGACGTTATCATCTAGCAAGTGCTGATTGGTTTATGCCAAAATTCCTCGGACATCATTTGCATAAAAGGGCAACTGAAACGAAATGATCTGTTAATTCGCCTTTGGTTTGCAGGTATGGAGATAACAGACAAACATAGCCTGCAGTGACAGCATCAGGCTGCCGCTCGTAGGGAGGTAGACAAGTTTATGTGTCTCTGATGATGGTCAACGACAGAGTGTAGACAAGTTTATGTGTCTCTGATGATGATCAACGACACAGTGTAGAAACGTTTATGTCTCTCCGATGATGGTCAACGACACAGTGTAGACAAGTTTATGTGTCTCTGATGATGGTCAACCACACAGTGTAGACAAGTTTATGTGTCTCTGATGATGGTCAACGACACAGTGTAGACAAGTTTATGTGTCTCTGATGATGGTCAACGACACAGTGTAGACAAGAGTATGTGTCTCTGATGATGGTCAACGACACAGTGTAGACAAGTTTATGTGTCTCTGATGATGGTCAACGACACAGTGTAGACTAGTTTATGTGTTTCTGACGATGGTCAACCACATAGTGTAGACAAGTTTATGTGTCTCTGATGACGGTCAACCACATAGTGCAGACAAGTTTATGTGTCTCTGATGATGGTCAACGACACAGTGTAGACAAGTTAATGTGTCTCTAATGATTGTCAGTGACACAGTGTAGACAAGTTTATGTGTCTGTGATTATGGTCAATGACACAGTGCAGACAATTTTATGTCTCTGATGATGGTCAATGACACAGTGTAGACAAGTTTATGTGTCTCTGATGATGGTCAATGACACAGTGTAGACAAGTTTATGTTTCTCTGATGATGGTCAACGACACAGTGTAGACAATTGTATGTGTCTCTGATGATGGTCAACAACACGGTGTAGACAAGTTTATGTGTCTCTGATGATGGTCAACGACAAAGTGTAGACAAGTTTATGTGTCTCTGATGATGGTCGACCACACAGTGTAGACAAGTTTATGTGTCTTATGTGTCTATGATGATGGTCAACCACATAGTGTATACAAGTTTATGTGTCTCTGATGATGGTCAACGACAAAGTGTAGACAAGTTTATGTGTCTCTGATGATGGTCGACCACACAGTGTAGACAAGTTTATGTGTCTCTGATGATTGTCAACGACACAGTGTAGACAAGTTTATGTGTCTCTGATGATTGTCCACGACACAGTGTAGACACGTTTATGTGTCTATGATGATTGTCAACGACACAGTGTAGACAAGTTTATGTGTCAATGATGATGGTCAATGACACAGTGTAGACACGTTTATGTGTCTCTGATGATTGTCAACGACACAGTGTAAACAAGTTTATGTGTCTCTGATGATTGTCAACGACACAGTGTAGACAGGTTTATGTGTCTCTAATGATGGTCAATGACACAGTGTAGACAATTTTATGTGTCTCTGATGATGGCCAACCACACAGTGTAGACAAGTTTATGTGTCTCTGATGATGATCAACGACACAGTGTAGACACGTTTATGTCTCTCCGATGATGGTCAACGACACAGTGTAGACAAGTTTATGTGTCTCTGATGATGGTCAACCACACAGTGTAGACAAGTTTATGTGTCTCTGATGATGGTCAACGACACAGTGTAGACAAGTTTATGTGTCTCTGATGATGGTCAACGACACAGTGTAGACAAGAGTATGTGTCTCTGATGATGGTCAACGACACAGTGTAGACAAGTTTATGTGTCTCTGATGATGGTCAACGACACAGTGTAGACTAGTTTATGTGTTTCTGACGATGGTCAACCACATAGTGTAGACAAGTTTATGTGTCTCTGATGACGGTCAACCACATAGTGCAGACAAGTTTATGTGTCTCTGATGATGGTCAACGACACAGTGTAGACAAGTTAATGTGTCTCTAATGATTGTCAGTGACACAGTGTAGACAAGTTTATGTGTCTGTGATTATGGTCAACGACACAGTGCAGACAATTTTATGTCTGTGATGATGGTCAATGACACAGTGTAGACAAGTTTATGTGTCTCTGATGATGGTCAATGACACAGTGTAGACAAGTTTATGTTTCTCTGATGATGGTCAACGACACAGTGTAGACAATTGTATGTGTCTCTGATGATGGTCAACAACACGGTGTAGACAAGTTTATGTGTCTCTGATGATGGTCAACGAGAAGGTGTAGACAAGTTTATGTGTCTTATGTGTCTATGATGATGGTCAACCACATAGTGTATACAAGTTTATGTGTCTCTGATGATGGTCAACGACAAAGTGTAGACAAGTTTATGTGTCTCTGATGATGGTCGACCACACAGTGTAGACAAGTTTATGTGTCTCTGATGATTGTCAACGACACAGTGTAGACAACTTTATGTGTCTCTGATGATTGTCCACGACACAGTGTAGACACGTTTATGTGTCTATGATGATTGTCAACGACACAGTGTAGACAAGTTTATGTGTCAATGATGATGGTCAATGACACAGTGTAGACACGTTTATGTGTCTCTGATGATTGTCAACGACACAGTGTAAACAAGTTTATGTGTCTCTGATGATTGTCAACGACACAATGTAGACAGGTTTATGTGTCTCAAATGATGGTCAATGACACAGTGTAGACAATTTTATGTGTCTCTGATGATGGCCAACCACACAGTGTAGACAAGTTTATGTGTCTTTGATGATTGTTAACAACACAGTGTAGACACGTTTATGTTTCTCTGATGATCGTCAACGACACAGTGTAGACAAGTTTATGTGTCTCTGATGATGGTCAACAACACGGTGTAGACAAGTTTATGTGTCTCTGATGATGGTCAACAACACAGTGTAGATACGTTTATGTGTCTCTGATGATAGTCAACCACACAGTTTAGACAAGTTTATGTGTCTCTGATGATGGTCAACGACACAGTGTAGACAAGTTTATGTGTCTCTGATGATTGTCCACGACACAGTGTAGACACGTTTATGTGTCTATGATGATTGTCAACGACACAGTGTAGACAAGTTTATGTGTCAATGATGATGGTCAACAACACAGTGTAGACAGGTTTATGTGTCTCTGATGATGGTCAACAACACAGTGTAGACACGTTTATGTGTCTCTGATGATAGTCAACCACACAGTTTAGACAAGTTTATGTGTCTCTGATGATGGTCAACGACACAGTGTAGACAAATTTTTGTGTCTCTGATGATGGTCAACGAGAAGGTGTAGACAAGTTTATGTGTCTTATGTGTCTCTGATGATGGTCAACCACATAGTGTAGACAAGTTTATGTGTCTCTGATGATGGTCAACGAGAAGGTGTAGACAAGTTTATGTGTCCTCTGTGTCTCTGATGATGGTCAACAACACAGTGTAGACAGGTTTATGTGTCTCTGATGATGGTCAACAACACGGTGTAGACAAGTTTATGTGTCTCTGTTGATGGTCAACGACACAGTGTAGACAAGTTTATGTGTCTCTGATGATGGTCAACCACATAGTTTAGACAAGTTTATGTGCCTCTGATGATGGTCAAAGACAAAGTGTAGACAAGTTTATGTGTCTCTGATGATTCTCGGTCCTCTGTTATTCAATATCTACATAAATGACCTTCCTTTATGTCTGTCGTCGTCCTGCGATTTATTCGCAGACGACTGTACCATCTATGCAAATGCTCAAACATGTAATTTACTAGAGTCCTCATTACAACAAGAATTAAATAATGTAGTCCAATGGAGCAGTGCAAACCGTATGCAAATAAACATTAATAAAACCAAATCTATGCTAATAACGACCAGGCAAAAACTATACAGTTTAAATTCTCAGAAAACGCTTCAACTCTACATTGGGGGCACTCAAGTAGAAAATGTAACTGAGCACAAGACACTGAGGTTGGTAATTGATGCAAATCTAACATTCAACTCACATGTACAAGCACTTGTGAAGCAAACAGCTAAAAAAGGTTTACCAGCTTGCAAAAATTAAAAACTTTCTTGATGAACACACAAGAAAGATATTCTATATTTCTCACATCCAGACACATGTAGACTATTGCTCTACAATATGGGATGGCTGTTCCAGCTCTGTTATCAAGCGACTCACATCACTGCAAAAGCGCGCCATTCGCTTAATTAGTAACAATCATGGAACACTGAGCTCCGAAACATATAAAGGTCTTAGACTACTACCGCTTCGCGAACGTCTACTTTTCAATAAGGCAAAATATACTTACAAAATATTATCTCAAAAGGCTCCATGTTACTTATGGCCGTTGTTCAAATATAATGAACGGCATAGTAAGCGTCTAAACATATTACACATCCCTAAACCTAGGATAGACCTTTATAAAACAAGTCTGTCATATTCCGCAGCTCACTTGTGGAACTATCTACCACAGCAAATCAAAAGTGCCACTAGTCCATATACATGCAATCGGAAACAGTTCGAATATTATCTGAGCACCGATTATATGCCCCCGTAGAAGATAAAACATGTGAAAAATAGCGCTAATTTTTCTAAGATTTGTTACAACTAATACGTTTTACTGTAGTTAGAAATGTGCACATTCCAGTGCTTGTATTGATTATTTTGATGCTATTGCTAACTTTTAATATTACTTGATGTGTGAATGAAATGATGTAAGAATGGAGGGAAACCTCGAAGGGCAGAATGTTAGACGGGCCTGCGTGCCCAATTCTTAACCCTTTAAAAATAAAGATTGTTCGTTCGTTCGTTCGTTCGTCAACCACACGGTGTAGACAAGTTTATGTGTCTCTGATGATGGTCAACGACACGGTGTAAACAAGTTTATGTGTCTCTGATGATGGTCAACGACAGAGTGTAGACAAGTTTATGTATCTCTGATGATGGTCAACCACACAGTGTAGACAAGTTTATGTATCTCTGATGATGGTCAACCACACAGTGTAGACAAGTTTATGTATCTCTGATGATGGTCAACGACACGGTGTAGACAAGTTTATGTGTCAATGATGATGGTCAATGACACAGTGTAGACAAGTTTATGTGTCTCTGATGATGGTCAACGACACAATGTAGAGGATGAGCCGAAACATGAGATCAACAGGAACTAGGTGGCTCTGATTCACTTCAGCACAATACAGCTCTAGATGCTACTCTCTCTATGCTGGAGCTTTGTGTTCATGTGATTGAGTGAAATATCGACAGTTCCATAGACAACGTAAGTGACCATACTTTATACCAGGACTTCACACCAGAATACAGATACTCACCAACACAATTGGGCTGAAAGGATGACTCCAGTCCGTTTACAGTTTGAACTTTGTCCAGGTTTTTCACTTCTCCAGAAGGACTGGTCAGACGAACGTACACAGAATCACACTGTTCACGTGAACATGCAATCTGTAGAGAAAACAAACATGTGCTCATCTGTTGAATGCAAACAAGACGACTGCATAAATAAGGGGGATACATTTTATCGACTACCTTTAACTGGGCAGACAGTTTCAGCAACACTAACAATTTCTAAACGACATAATGTGTACTATAAACATTAGTATTCGCTTGAAGAATGTGTACATCAGAAATCGGTCCATAACTTATACCCCAGGGAAAGAATGTTAACGTCATCAATCGATCCTTAAGGTATATACAACAGAAAGAATGTGGACATCAGACATCGTTCCATTATGCATACACAACTCAATGAGTGGTTGCATCAGAAATTATTCGGTAACATTTATACAACAAAATGAATGTGTACACCAGAAATCGGTTCGTAACGTTTTTTTTAACAAAAGAAATAATTGGTACCTTAGAAATCGTTCCATAACGTAAATACAAGAGAAAGAATGCGTACATCAGAAATCGCTCTATTACATATTCACATCTGAATAAATGTGTACATCAGAAATCGGTCTATAACGTCTATACAACAGAAAGAATGTGTACATAAGAAATCAGTCCGTAACATCTACACAAAAGACAGAATATGTACAACAGAAATGGGTCCATAGACTTATACAAAAGAAGGAATGTGTACATCAGTAATCTGTCTGTAAAGATTTTACAACAGAAAAAAATGTGTACATCAGAAAGCGCTATATTACGCATTCAAAACTGAGTAAATGTGAAACTGGGTGTAACGTCTATACAAGAGAATGAATGTTGAATTCAGAAATCGGTCTGTAACGTCTCTACAACTGAAAAAAATGTGTACATCAGTAATCTTTCCATAAATGTTTAACAACAGAAAGAATGAATGTCTGTACACATCAGAAATCAGCCTGTAATATCTATATAGAACAGAAATAATAATAAACGTGTTGGAAAATGCAACCAATAATGGGACTGACACTGTGCTATATGACAGGTGCTATATGACAGGTGCTATATGACAGGTGCTATATGACAGGTGCTATATGACAGGTGTGATATGACAGGTGCTGTATGACAGGTGCTATATGACAGGTGCTATATGACAGGTGTGATATGACAGGTGCTGTATGACAGGTGCTATATTACAGGTGCTATATGACAGGTGTGATATGACAGGTGCTGTATGACAGGTGCTATATGACAGGTGCTATATGACAGGTGCTATATGACAGGTGCTATAATTCCAACAGTTACCTGTACTCTACATAGTTGACCAACTGGACACTGCTGTTTTTCACAATTGACCTGAATCTGGTTTATGTCCAGCCCGACAATGAAGTTGACAGGACACCCATCGATTTCTTGCTCGCCATATAAGACATGAAGCTGGAGAACATGAAAAAGAATAGTTACATTTTATAAGACACGAAACTGGTGAACATAATATAGTATATAGTTAAACTATACAAGACCTGAAATTGAAGAACATGACGAAGAATAGAGTTACATTATAATATACACGAAACTGGAGAACATGACAATGAATAGAGTTACATTATAATATATATACGAAACTGGAGAACATGACAAAGAATAGTTACATTAAAATATACACGAAACTTGAGAACAAGACAAAGAATAGAGGTACATTATAATATACACGAAACTAGAGAACATGATAAGGAAGAGTTTTATTATTTAAGACACGAAACTGGAGAACACAATAAAGCACAGCGTTAAACAATACAAGACGTAAGATGGAAAACATGACAAAGAATAAATTATAATATACACGAAACTGGAGAGCATGATAAGGAATACAGATACATTACACGAGACATGAAGCTGGAGAACATGATAAGGAATACAGATACATTACACGAGAAATACAGATACATTACACGAGACATGAAGCTGGAGAACATGATAAGGAATACAGATACATTACACGAGACATGAAGCGGGAGAGCATGATAAAGAATACAAATACATTACACGAAACATGAAGCAGGAGAACATGATAGAGAATGATACATTACACGAGACATGAAGCAGGAGAACATGATAAAGAATACAGATACATTACACGAGACATGAAGCAGGAGAACATGATAAAGAATACAGATACATTACACAAGACATGAAGCAGGAGAACATGACAGACAATACAGATACATTACACGAGACATGAAGCAGGAGAACATGACAGACAATACAGATACATTACACGAGACATGAAGCAGGAGAACATGACAGACAATACAGATACATTACACGAGACATGAAGCAGGAGAACATGACAGACAATACAGATACATTACACGAGACATGAAGCAGGAGAACATGATAAAGAATACAGATACATTACACGAGACATGAAGCAGGAGAACATGACAGACAATACAGATACATTACACGAGACATGAAGCAGGAGAACATGACAGACAATACAGATACATTACACGAGACATGAAGCAGGAGAACATGATAAAGAATACAGATACATTACACAAGACATGAAGCAGGAGAACATGATAGAGAATACAGATTCATTACACGAGACATAAAGCAGGAGAACATGATAGACAATACAGATACATTACACGAGACATGAAGCAGGAGAACATGATAAAGAATACAGATACATTACACAAGACATGAAGCGGGAGAACATGATAGAGAATGATACATTACACGAGACATGAAGCGGGATCTGGTGGCATCTTCTCACTTCATTATTAGGTCCTGGCTTTTGCAAGTGACAGATGAAAGTGTCTAGAACAACATACGTGATGTTGATGTTACATGCCTGATGAAAGTGTCTAGAACAACAGACGTGATGTTGATGTTACATGTCTGATGAAAGTGTCTAGAACAACATACGTGATGTTGATGTTACATGACCGATGAAAGTGTCTAGAACAACATACGTGATGTTGATGTTACATTACTGGTGAAAGTGTCTAGAACAACATACGTGATGTTGATGTTACATTACTGGTGAAAGTGTCTAGAACAACATACGTGATGTTGATGTTACATTACTGGTGAAAGTGTCTAGAACAACATACGTGATGTTGATGTTACATTACTGGTGAAAGTGTCTAGAACAACATACGTGATGTTGATGTTACATTACTGGTGAAAGTGTCTAGAACAACATACGTGATGTTGATGTTACATTACTGCTGAAAGTGTCTAGAACAACATACGTGATGTTGATGTTACATTACTGGTGAAAGTGTCTAGAACAACATACGTGATGTTGATGTTACATGTCCGATGAAAGTGTCTAGAACAACATACCTGATGTTTAAGTTAATACAATAGTAGTAGCAGCAACAACAGCAGTAACAGTAGTAGCTTTACTTTTTTTTAAACAATATTCTATTCAACGCTACTAGGTTATGTCTAGGATAAACATACTTTTTTTTTTCTTTTTGTTACTTGTTATTTAATGCTTGTTTTGTACTTTTCTTTATCTATCACAAATTTATAATGTAATATTAATAATTATAGCAGATCCTAGTAAAATAGATAGTCAAGTTTGATATATTGTTTACTTATCACTTTGTGTTGAAAAAATAGATAGTCAAGTTTGATATATTGTTTACTTATCACTTTGTGTTGAAAAAATAGATAGTCAAGTTTGATATATTGTTTACTTATCACTTTGTGTTGAAAAAAAAGATAGTAAAGTTTGATATATTGTTTACTTATTACTTTGTAATGAAAAAATAGATAGTCAAGTTTGATATATTGTTTACTTATCACTTTGTGTTGAAAAAATAGATAGTCAAGTTTGATATATTGTTTACTTATCACTTTGTGTTGAAAAAAAAATAGATAGTCAATTTTGATATATTGTTTACTTATCACTTTGTGTTGAAAAAATAGATAGTCAAGTTTGATATATTGTTTACTTATCCCTTTGTGTTGAAAAAATAGATAGTCAAGTTTGATATATTGTTTACTATCACTTTGTGTTGAAAAAATAGATAGTCAAGTTTGATATATTGTTTACTTATCACTTTGTGTTGAAAAAATGCCAATGATAATGTCAGTTTGCACTAAGCAGCTGAGTGCAGAAAACCTTGTTCATTATGCTCATAGGGACGGAAATCATTGAGTGATTTGCTCTGTTTGCATTTAGTTATGATTCTCTTGTTTTAGAAGAACTAGTTTTCAAGATAAGCGAAATAATTCAGTGTGATTCAGGTGATGGCATCAGCAGACATTGAGCACAGAATGCTCTATACACTCGACCATCTACTCATTATTTCGCTGATGGAGTATGACATCATTGTTAAGATATCTTACATAAGTATAAGCGTCAAGAAACAGATTGTACACAGCATATACATACCAACACTGTTTTACCAGTGACAGACTTGGACATAATCAAAGGCTCACCTATGTAAAATTAACAACTGTGAAATGAAATACAGAGAAAAGCCACCAACTCCAACTTAACCATGGGAGACAAAGTTAAAAACGATATTAATAGACAGACTGTAGGAACAACTTCCTGAGAAACAAAACTTCCTAAGAAACAAAACTTCCTGAGAAACAAAACTTCCTGAGAAACAAAACTTCCTGAGGAAAAAAACTTCCTGAAAAACAAAACTTCCTGAGAAACAAAACTTCATGAGAAACAAAATCTCATGAGAAACAAAACTTCCTGAGAAACAGAAGATCAAATAGTCTGGTCATCTTGTATGAATGCAACCAGACCAAATACCACAGCAGGGGCTACACAGGACAAGTTTGGAAGTGAGGTCAGAGGTCGCCATAGAGAGTATGGACTGATGGCTTTCAAGAGCTTCTACACAGACGCGGAATGACAATGGCCATTGCAACCCGGCAAACAATGGATGGCAAACTGTTCCTTCTTACAACACTTCATGGCACAAGTTAACAGTGATGTTGACGAGTATGGTTTGGGACTGCTAACGCTATCTTACACTCAAATAGAGATGATGACGAGTATGGTTTGGGACTGCTAACGCTATCTTACACTCAGATAGAGATGATGACGAGTATGGTTTGGGACTGCTAACGCTATCTTACACTCAAATAGAGATGATGACGAGCATGGTTTGGGACTGCTAACGATATCTTACACTCAAATAAAGATGATGACGAGTATGGTTTGGGACTGCTAACGCTATTTTACATTCAAATAAAGATGATGACGAGTATGGTTTGGGACTGCTAACGCTATCTTACACTCAGATAGAGATGATGACGAGTATGGTTTGGGACTGCTAACGCTAGCTTACACTCAAATAGAGATGATGACGAGTATGGTTTGGGACTGCTAACGCTATCTTAAACTCAAATAGAGATGATGACGAGTATGGTTTGGGACTGATAACGCTATCTTACACTCAAAAAGAGATGATGGCGAGTATGGTTTGGGACTGCTAACGCTATCTTACACTCAAACAGAGATGATGACGAGTATGGTTTGGGACTGCTAACGCTATCTTACACTCAAATAGAGATGATGAAAAGCATGGTTTGGGACTGCTAACGCTATCTTACACTCAAATAGAGATGATGACGAGTATGGTTTAGGACTGCTAACGCTATCTTACACTCAAATAGAGATGATGACGAGTATGGTTTGGGACTGCTAACGCTATCTTACACTAAAATAAAGATGATGACGAGCATGGTTTGAGACTGCTAACGCTATCTTACACTCAAATAGAGATGATGACGAGTATGGTTTGGGACTGATAACGCTATCTTACACTCAGATAGAGATGATGACGAGTATGGTTTGGGACTGCTAACGCTATCTTACACTCAAATAGAGATGATGACGAGTATGGTTTGGGACTGCTAACGCTATCTTACACTCAGATAGAGATGATGACGAGTAAGTTTGGGACTGCTAACGCTATCTTACACTCAAATAGAGATGATGACGAGTATGGTTTGGGACTGCTAACGATATCTTACACTCAGATAGAGATGATGACGAGTATGGTTTAAGACTGCTAACGCTATCTTACACTCAAACAGAGATGATGACGAGCATGGTTTGGGACTGCTAACGCTATCTTACACTCAAATAGAGATGATGACGAGTATGGTTTGGAACTGCTAACGCTATCTTACACTCAAGTAGAGATGATGAGATGACGAGCATGGTTTGGGACTGCTAACGCTATCTTACACTCAAATAGAGATGATGACGAGCATGGTTTGGGACTGCTTACGCTATCTTACACTCAAATATAGATCATGACGAGTATGGTTTGGGACTGCTAACGCTATCTTACACTCAAATAGAGATGATGACGAGCATGGTTTGGGACTGCTAACGCTATCTTACACTCAAATAGAGTTGATGACGAGTATGGTTTGGGACTGCTAACGCTATCTTACACTCAAATAGAGATGATGACGAGTATGGTTTGGGACTGCTAACGCTATCTTACACTCAAATAGAGATGATGACGAGTATGGTTTGGGACTGCTAACGCTATTTTACACTCAAATAGAGATGATGAAACCCATGCAAAATAAAGCCAAGCCACTGGTTTCGGGATGCACACATGACAGGCCAGTCGTATGCATGTGGCACATATTTGTATTGCCATACGTGTAGGAAAGATGCAATTTATTGCATGTTAACATGTACATTCAAGTCAACGGACAGGAAACACCTTCTAACTGAGGCATTAGGGGATAGCAAAGGACATCGGCTGTCCGCTCAGTCATCACAGTTTCTTTACCTTGAATTGGTGAAACGGACCAATTTTTTCCTGCATCTTCTTTTCTTCCTTTAGTTTCTCAAGATACATTTTCAGAGAATTAAAGGATGTGTTTCTTTTGAACAAAATTTTGAAGAAAAAAAAAAACAACAGAATCAGTGGAATTATGCAAAAAAAAAAATAAATAAAAACAAGGCATTGGAAAGAGTACACGGAAGGTGCTTACATCTCCCTCCAACACTAGGATGAAGTAACTGCATGAAGTGAAGGAGAAAAAACTGTTTGAAAGAGAGGGACTGGAACGGCCGAAAGATGGTTCTGCGTGCTAATTTGTGACTCTTTTAAATTAAATTCTGATTGTTCATTCGCTTGTTCGTAAATGTGATATTTAAGTCAATCTCATGTAATGCTGGAGTGAAAAGTCTAATGTGTATGTGTCTAAAATATAATGAAGAGATAAAAACCTGGTGACTGCCTTCCTCGAGAGGTAGGAAGCTACCCATAGCCACTGTGTCACCCCAGCTGATCTGACAGTCGACTGGCCCAGAAGGGCCCGTAACCAGGGCCTCGACTTTGTTTCTTTTGCATTTCGAGTCTACAGCAACAATTTGAAATGTCACCTGTAAAACAAAAACAGATAACACAGGTGTACTGACGTGGAAACAGACAACACAGGTTTACTGACGTGGAAACAGACAACACAGGTTTACTGACGCGATAACAGACAACACAGGTTTACTGACGCGGAAACAGACAACACAGGTGTACTGACATATAGATCTAGTGTGTACAATCAAACCCAACATGAGGTAGACGATGGATCTAATGTGTACTTATACATCCAACAAGAGGTAGATGTTGAAACTAGTGTGTACTATCACACCCAACATGAGATAGATGTTGAATCTAGTGTGTACTGTTACATCTAACATGAGGTAGATGATGGATCTAGTGTGTACTATCACACCCAACATGAGGTAGATGATAAATCTACTGTGTACTATCACACTCAACATGATGTAGATGTTGAATCTAGTGGGTATCATCACACCCAACATGAGGTAAATGTTGGATCTACTGTGTACTATCACATCCAACATGAGATAAATGATGGATCTACTGTGTACTATCACACCCAACATGAGATAGATGTTGAATCTAGTGGGTACTATTACACCTTACATGAGATAGATGTTGGATCTAGTGTGTACTATTACACCCAACATGAGGTAAATGTTGTATCTACTGTGTACTATCACACCCAACATGAGATAGATGTTGAATCTAGTGGGTACTATTACACCTTACATGAGATAGATGTTGGATCTAGTGTGTACTATTACACCCAACATGAGGTAAATGTTGTATCTAGTGGGTACTATTACACCCAACATGAGATAGATGTTGGATCTAGTGGGTACTATTACACCCAACATGAGATAGATTTGAATCTAGTGGGTACTATTACACACAACATGAGATAGATGTTTGATCTAGTGGGTACTATTACACCTAACATGAGATAGATGTTGGATCTAGTGGGTACTATTACACCCAACATGAGGTAGATGTTGTATCTAGTGGGTACTATTATACCTAACATGAGATAGATGTTGTATCTAGTGGGTACTATTACACACAACATGAGATAAATTATGGATCTAGTGGGTAATATTACACCCAACATGAGATAGATTATGGATCTAGTGTGTCCTATTATACCCAACATGAGATAGATGTTGGATCTAGTGGGTACTATTACACCCTACATGAGATAGATGTTGGATCTAGTGGGTACTTTTACACCTAACATGAGATAGATGTTGGATCTAGTGGGTACTATTACACCCAACATGAGATAAATTATGGATCTAGTGGGTACTATTACACCCAACATGAGATAGATGTTGTATCTAGTGGGTACTATTACACCCTGCATGAGGTAAATTATGGATCTAGTGGGTAATATTACACCCAACATGAGATAGATGTTGGATATAGTGGGAACTATTTAACCCAACATGAGATAGATGTTGTATCTAGTGGGTACTATTACACCCAACATGAGATAGATGTTGGATCTAGTGGGTACTATTACACCCAACATGAGATAGATGTTGGATCTAGTGGGTACTATTACACCCAACATGAGGTAGATTATGGATCTAGTGGGTACTATTACACCCAACATGAGATAGATGTTGGATCTAGTGGGAACTATTACACCCAACATGAGATAGATGTTGGATCTAGTGGGTACTATTACACCCAACATGAGATAGATGTTGGATCTAGTGGGTACTATTACACCCAACATGAGGTAGATTATGGATCTAGTGGGTACTATTACACCCAACATGAGTTAGATGTTGGATCTAGTGGGTACTATTACACCCAGCATGAGGTAGATGTTGTATCTAGTGGGTACTATTACACCCAACATGAGGTAGATTATGGATCTAGTGGGTACTATTACACCCAACATGAGATAGATGTTGGATCTAGTGGGAACTATTACACCCAACATGAGATAGATGTTGGATCTAGTGGGTACTATTACACCCAACATGAGATAGATGTTGGATCTAGTGGGTACTATTACACCCAACATGAGGTAGATTATGGATCTAGTGGGTACTATTACACCCAACATGAGTTAGATGTTGGATCTAGTGGGTACTATTACACCCAGCATGAGGTAGATGTTGTATCTAGTGGGTAATATTACACCCAACATGAGATAGGTGTTGGATCTAGTGGGTACCCCCAGTATGAGGTATATGATGGATCTAATATGTATTGTTACTCCCAACATGGTAGTCGCTGTGGCGTTGGCGGCTAGACGCCCGCCTGCGGATCGGACGGTTGTGGGTTTGTGTCCTGGACATTTTTTTTTAATTACCTTGACCCACAGGTGGACCCAGCGAAGAGTGGGTACCAGGTGCAGTCATGGGAAGTTAAGGCGGCTAGCGTGATACTTACGTGATACTCACCCACCAAGTGCCGATTGGTCTGTAAAAATATATGTCTAGCCCTATATTGCCAAAACCCTAGAGGCGCGGAAAAGGAACCTATACTTTACATACTCCTAACATGAGGCAGATTATAAATCTAATTGGTACTGTTACTCCCAACAGGAAGTAGATGATGCATCTAATGGTTACTGTTACTCCCAAAATGAAGTACATGATCGATCAAATATTCACTGTTATTCCCAACATGAGGTACATGATGGATCTGATGCGTACTTTATATCCATAATGAGGTAGATATTAAATCTATTGCCTACTCCCAAAATAAGGTAGATGATGGATCTGAGGTGTATAGTTACTCCCAACATAGGTAGATGTTGCATCAAGTATACACTATTGTTCCCAGTGTGAAGTAGATTATGAATCTAGTGTGTGTTTCCCTCTCAACAGGAGTAGATGTTGGATCTAGTAAGTATATTATATGCTGCATTTGATTTATACTTGACAACCTTGAAAACTAGGCGTGTGTGTAAAGCCTACTAAATTTCCAACAACCATTTATCACAACATGAGCAGACACGCTAGTGTGTGTGTAAAGCCTACTATATTTGATTTTTTCCAACCATCATTTACCAGAACATTAGCAGACAAATTAGCGTAATGCCTACCAGATTTCCAACTGTGACATCTTGTAACTGACAGTCCAGTACACATGACTGCGTGTTGCTCTTCTGTTGACTTATGTTTTTAAATTTACTCAAATAGACCATCAGTGTCAGGTGGTCGATGCTAGGATCTGCCAGCTCCGACGCCGTAAACATGGGCTCCACGCCCAGCTTCTGTGCACCGTCCAGACCTGAACATTTAGACACACGCACGTTAGTTGCTGGTCCTTTGTGTGTAATTTTAGAACCAACCTCAAAACGTTTTAGCTGTTTTGGGTTGTCTATGAAATGTTACGTTACGTAGTTTGCCATTGCTTCTTGGATGGTCAACTCTTGGTACCACTGTTGAAACAAACGCACGTCGGTCTGCTGCCAACTTGCCTGCAGGTGGGATTAAACCCGGCATTACAAAACATGTTTCTTTATGTTGCTGCAGTTGGTTTTGGGTAGAGTCAGTTGATTTCAGTGCTTTTCTGTCAGGCTTTTACATCACGTCCTTTAAGCATCCCGTCTAGACTTGTAGATATGGTTATAAAACCGGAAGCTGGAAGAAATGAACATTTCAACAAGGGAAAAAATGTTTAATCATTTAAAACAGAGCAGCCATCATCAGTCGTTTTACGCATGTGAAGCTTCTGAGGAGGAGATCGGAGCACCTATATACATGTCTGAAGTGCTGTGTAGACAATCCTCACTAAATACAATTACAAAGCACGTTAAGCAACGCCTGAGCTACAGACTTCGACGGTGAGAATACGAGATGACGACAGTTCTGACACCAGAGTATTTCACACTGTTCTGACACCAGAGTATTTCACACTGTTCTGACACTAGAGTATTTCATACAGTTCTGACACCAGAGTATTTCACGCAGATTTGACACCAGAGTATTTCACACAGTTCTGACACCAGGGTATTTCACACTGTTTTGACACCAGAGTATTTCACACAATTCTGACACTAGAGTATTTCACACTGTTCTGACACCAGAGTATTTGACACATTTCTGACACCAAAGTATTTCACACAGTTCTGACACCAAAGGATTTCACACTGTTCTGACACCAGAGTATTTCACACTGTTCTGACACCAGAGTATTTCACACAGTTCTGACACCAGAGTATTTCACACAGTTCTGACACCAGAGTATTTCACACAGTTCTGACACTAGAGTATTTCACACTGTTCTGACACCAGAGTATTTCACACATTTCTGACACCAGAGTATTTCACACTGTTCTGACACCAGAGTAGTTCACACAGTTCTGACACCAGAGTACTTCACACTGTTCTGACACTAGAGTATTTCACACAGTTCTGACACCAGAGTATTTCACACAGTTCTGACACCAGAGTATTTCACACTGTTCTGACCTTGTGACGTGACGGGTGGTTAAAATGTTTTATTATGTTGAGTAGGGATGTTCCTCTCAACACATTCTCTCCACCAGATTAACCGAACTAAAATCTGAGCTATGTTGCTCTCAGACAAAGTCCTGGATATCCAAGAAACCAGCCATATTGGCTCGTTAAGTACATTAACATTAGCTGAACTTGGTACCCACAAAAGAAAGCAAGGAATTTTAGATGTCTATCATACTAAATGAATTATTAGACAGGGCAAGTGATTCCTTTGTCATCTACCTTCTCCCGGTGTTAGTATTAATAATTAAAGAATTATTATCATATTATATGAGCCCCCACCAAATGTTATTCTATCCTAACAGTTTAATTAAACATGTAAGAACAGACATTTGGAATTTAACAAACTATGTAGTTTAAAACTTGACAAACAGCTTTATTTACTACAATGAAATTCCCAGTTTGTTGATTTACACAAACAGTGACTGGTTAATGAAAGTGATACGCTTCAGCGAGACAAACAGCTCGGGTTTTAGAGTGGTATGATAATGATGATAAAAGGTTAACATAAAGGGGTTAACTCAACTTATAAGCCTCTGACAGCCGTGAGGAACTGTCAAGCTTGTCCAACTCTTCCTTGCCTGTTGTCTGCCTGTTTCAGCTTATTCTCCACTTCCTCCCCACCTCGTTCTCCACCTCGTTCTCCACCTCGTTCCCAGCTGGCCGAGTCTAACACAATGTAGGCTACTTCATGGACTGATCGTCACATGGGCGCTGTAATCATGGAAACAAAACACATACGTGTAGTATCTTGACTTACACTAAGAATACATGTATCAATTAATACAACATATAATAATAAGATATAGCCCATCACTCCTCCTCATATTCCACATTCTCTCCAGTCTAGTCTGAAGGTCTTTTGTCTTACATGGGCGTCACATATCCTGCCTTCCCTCAAATGCTATGTCATGATAGTTGACTTTCTAAGTCTGTTGTCCGTCTTCACTCAGACTTCGAGTTGGCTGACATAGAATTGACATAAACATGTGGCACGCTGTCCTGAATATTATCTTTCAGTGACCGTGAATTCTTTACACCCATCATCCTTCCCCCTGGGGTTATAAATCCCCTGTTCAGGTGAACACATTAAGTGAGCCATGGTGGGCACACAAAACGTAGCAGCATCCCTGCACATATTTGGGCATCATTTCCCACAGTCCCAACTCATATTTTGGCTGATCGTGAAAACAATATAATTACAATTTCATTATAGCAAATGTCATTGTTCACATCTTATTTTATACACATGAAAACATACAATGGAAAACATGTGACACAAACATACTAGAAATAGGAATAGTTTTTTTAGCAGTTCCCTAACTGAGATACTGAATATTCACAAAGAACTATTTCAAGCAGAATGTGCAGACAAATTAGGAAAAGGTAGTATAGACTAAAAGCTTAAACTCCTAACCTAAGTATACAAGATTAAAATTAATATTCACCTGGGAACTTTTCCATCTATCGCCAAACCAGAGTACGACAGTAAAATATACCTTTACGTCGACCTGTGTTTGTTTGCCGGCAGGCTGCGATTAATGACGGGAATTCCACAGGCTCGAAGTATAAGTATCAATCTATTGTCCAAATTAAACTCCTCCCTTTCCTGGATTCTGAGTACCCAACAGATCACATTAGCTAACAAGTGGCCTGTCAGTCAATTCTGGACTGACATCCCTAGAGCAAACATTCTTAAGTGCCCCAATCTAGTTTACACCGAATCTAACTGACCGGTGTGAAAGACGGTCAGTGAAGCCATTGTGTTTCCTACGTGACAAAGATCAAGATAAAACATTCCTAATTGCCAAACACCTGTTCTCTCCAGAATTACACAGACGTGTTAAACTCCAACCTCCCGGCTCCACAATGTCTAGCGTCTACTCAATTTACCTGTTCAAAAGGGCCCCGCCCAGTCTCTACAGTCTGGTCAAGAGATAACAATCTGACACTGGCATGAGAATAGAATTCCTAGCTACAGTGTAAAGTTTTAGGTAATATTACCAAAGACTTAGTCGCTTTGTCTGGACTAAGGACTGGAAACGTTTAAATCAATACGGTTTAAAGTAACATTTGGTTTAAGGGCATAGTCTCTTGTCTCTCAATAACCAGAAGAACTTATTACAAGTACTAACTTCTGGAATCACTGAGATCGTTTCGTGACAGACCTGCAGACATGAAACAATACGTAACTGACACGAACAACAACACTTCCAACACTATATCACTGAGCTTTTAACACTATATCACTGAGCCAACCGACATAAACAACAACAACAACACCTCTAACACGGTATGACTTATCCAACTTACATAAATAACAACAACACATCCAACACAGAATAACTCAGCCAACAAAAGGAACCACAAAAACACCTTTAACTGTAAAACGCAGCCAAGTGACATGAACAACACCTCAAAGACTGTATTACTCGACCAGCTGACATGGAAAATAAAAACATCCATCATTGTGTATGTCACACAACTGACATGAAACAATTCACATCCAGCATTGCAGAACCCACACAACGGATAAAAACAAAACACCTCCAAATTATATAAGTCACCCAACTGATATAAACAAACAAAAAGTCCTACATTGAACAAATCACCCAACTGATATTGCCCACACAAAAAACTCCTATATTTAACAAATTACCCAACTGATATAAACAAAAAACCTCCTATATTTAACAGATCACCCAACTGATATGAACAAAACAACTCCAACACTGTATAAGTCACTCAACTTACATGGACACAAGACTGCAGCAATGTTTAAGTCACATAACTGACATGAACAACAACACTTCTAACATTGTATAACTCACCCAACTGACACGTGGCTATGTGGTCTCTTCTCTCTAACTGTGGCCAGCCTTTGACCTCTCCGCCAAAAGAATGTACCAGGGCACAGAGATAATAGCCATCATTCCAGTCTGTCTGTTAGTGGGAGATAACAACACAGGCTACACTAAATGATAGAATTATTGCAACATAGTTCACCTCAAACAGCGTCAAGGATGGCCAGCTTCTCCTCGGAGGGCCAACACAGAGTGTGAGTCGCCTGTCAGGGCAAGTAGAGCACCCAGGTCATTCACACCTCCACGCTGGCAAACTGAAATCCTAGGGATTGTGCTAACGAACACTGATTGACACACATAGGAGGAAACAGGCACTAAACATGTCTGATCGTTGTTACACCAGCCAGAGACGGACAACACCTATCAGACATGATCGTTGTTATACCAGCCAGAGACGGACAACATCAATCAGGTCTGATGGTTGTTACACCAGCCAGAGACAGACAACACCAATCAGGTATGGTTGTTGTTACACCAGCCAGAGACGGACAACACCAATCAGGTCTGACTGTTTTTACACCAGCCAGAGACGGACAACACCAATCAGGTCTGATTGTTCTTACACCAGCCAGAGACGGACAACACCAATCAGATATGATCGTTGTTATACCAGCCAGAGACGGACAACACCATTCAGATATGATCGTTGTTATACCAGCCAGAGACGGACAACACCAGTCAGGTCTGATCGTTCTTACTCCAGCCAGAGACCGACAACACTAATCAGGTCTGACTGTTCTTCACTCCGATCATCCGTAGTGTGAAGGATTTCTATATTTCGGGAGCTGAACACACACAACCCTAACCTGCATAGTGTTCACAACCACCATATCCTACACATGATTACGACAGGAGTTTTTTTTTTTCTTCTAGTTCTCCTCTTACCAGCTCTTATCTTTCACTCCTTCCTCATTCTTCCTCTTCCTATCCTCCATCTACTCCTACCTTAATTTGCTGCGAGTATCGACGTCAGAGCACAATCGCCGTAGCTTCGGCCAAGATTCTGTGAGAAAAATGATTCCATGGTTGTATATATTTTATATGAGGGATAATAAAAGGTCGCCCAAGCATCACTTTCCATCTGTGCTTGGGAAGGGACTTAGGACAATACATCTATCAGCCAAGCGTGGCTCAAACATAGGATCACTTACTGTTAGGTTACTGATATGTGTGGTGTTCAGCTTAAACATAGGATCACTTACTGTTAGGTTACTGATATGTGTGGTGTTCAACTTAAACATAGGATCACTTACTGTTAGGTTACTGATATGTGTGGTGTTCAGCTCAAATATGACATCACTTACTGTTAGGTTACTGATGTTTGGGGTCTTCAGCTGTTTACAGATCCAGTTCAATGTCCCGTAATATCCTGGGGAACTCTTTCGGATAAAATAGGACAAGTAGGTCATTGCAGATTGTTCGTCCAGGTTCGGGCTGCAAAAGTCCTCAGCGCTGATCATTTTTGGTACAGCCAGATGATCTTTGGCAAGCTGCATTGCCAGGCGACAGTTCTGTAGACTACAACAAGTGGAAGGAACCTGTTTGAGCCTCCTTGTGGGGTAACCAAACAGTTGCATACTGTTTTAGTAGACTCAGCAGCAACAACAGTAGTGGTAGTGGCAGAAGCAGCAGCGGTGTCAGTGGCAGCATTAGCAACAGGATTGTCAAAGTTGTAGCCAAGTCAGCAATAGGAGCAGTAGATGCAGTAATAGTAGTTGTAGTAGTAGTATAGCGCCAGCAGTATCAGTAACAGTAGCAGCAGCAGTGTCAGTTTCAGCAGCAGTGCCAGTAGCAGCAGCAGTGCCAGTAGCAGAAGCAGCAGCAGTCATAGTAGTAGTAATAGTAGATTTAGTAGTAGTAGTAGAGGTCGTAGTAGTATTCGTAAAAGTAAACGTAATAGTAGTAGTGGTAGAAGCAGCAGTAGTGTCAGTGGCAGCAGCAGCAGGATTGTCAGAGTTGTAGCCAAGTTAGTAGTAGTAGCAGCAGTAGAGGCATTAATAGTAGTTGTAGTAGTAGTAGCAGCAGTAGAGGCATTAATAGTAGTTGTAGTAGTAGTAGCAGCAGTAGACGCATTAATAATAGTTGTAGTAGTAGTAGTAGTAGAAGTAGTAGTAGTAGTAGTAGTAGTAGTAGAAGTAGTAGTAGTAGGAGTAGTAGTAGTAGTAGTAGTAGTAGTAGTAGTAGAAGCAGTAGTAGTAGTAGTAGTAGTAGTAGTAGTAGTAGTAGTAGTAGTAGTAGTAGTAGTAGTAGTAGTAGGAGTAGTAGTAGTAGTAGTAGTAGTAGAAGTAGTAGTAGTAGTAGTAGTAGTAGTAGTAGTAGTAGTAGTAGTAGTAGTAGTAGTAGTAGTAGTAGTAGTAGTAGTAGTAGAAGCAGTAGTAGTAGTAGTAGTAGTTGTAGTAGTAGTAGTAGTAGTAGGAGTAGTAGTAGTAGTAGTAGTAGTAGTAGTAGTAGAAGCAGTAGTAGTAGTAGTAGTAGTAGTAGTAGTAGTAGTAGTAGTAGTAGTAGTAGTAGTAGTAGTAGTAGTAGTAGTAGTAGGAGTAGTAGTAGTAGTAGTAGTAGTAGTAGTAGTAGTAGTAGTAGAAGCAGTAGTAGTAGTAGTAGTAGTAGTAGTAGTAGTAGTAGTAGTAGTAGTAGTAGTAGTAGTAGTAGTAGTAGTAGTAGTAGCAGTAGTAATAGTAGTAGGATTAGTAGTAGTGGTAGTAATAGTAGAAGCATCAGCAAAATTGGCAGCAAATGTAGTAATAATAATGTCTGATAAGTAATATCCTTTTCAACCCTGAGTGTATAATTTCGGCAGATAATGTTCACAGAGAAATTTTAGCCATCTGACATGCACATATTATAACATTTAGAAATATGATATATACATATAAACTACTAGAACGTCTCTATAGCTTGTAAAGTGGGGCCGTTTAGTCCATTTACATAATCATTTTAGGGGCTTTCGAGAAGTCTGGCCAACAAAGGTTCGTTCAAATCTGTGTGGACCGTACCGTGTAAATATCGCGGCTTTGCTGTTAAAAAAAACAGAGGCTATTATTTTACTCGGGTGAATGAAAGAAAGAAGGCGATTTTGAAATTCTGAAGCTACCACTCTAAAAACATTTTTTGGCGGAACGGGGGAGGGGAGTGTCAAGGGACGTTTACTGTTGTCGTGGTTATAACACAGAGAGATGGAGTGGGCGTGTCAAGGGACGTTTACTGATGCCAGAGTTATAACATAGAGAGATGGAGTGGGCGTGTCAAGGGACGTTTACTGATGCCAGAGTTATAACATAGAGAGATGGGAGGGGAGTGTCAAGGGACGTTTACTGGTGTTAAAGTTAAAACACAGAGAGATGGGAGGGGAGTGTCAAGGGACGTTTACTGATGCCAGAGTTATAACATAGAGAGATGAGAGGAAAGTGTCAAGGGACGTTTACTGGTGTCAAAGTTATAACACAGAGAGATGGGAGGGGAGTGTCAAGGGACGTTTACTGGTGTCAAAGTTATAACATAGAGAGATGAGAGGGGAGTGTCAAGGGACGTTTACTGGTGTCAAAGTTATAACACAGAGAGATAGGAGGGGAGTGTCAAGGGACGTTTACTGGTGTCAAAGTTATAACACAGAGAGATGGGAGGGGAGTGTCAAGGGACGTTTACTGGTGTCAGAGTTTTAACACAGAGAGATGGGAGGGGAGTGTCAAGGGACGTTTACTGGTGTCAAAGTTATAACACAGAGAGATGGGAGGGGAGTGTCAAGGGACGTTTACTGGTGTCAAAGTTATAACATAGAGAGATGAGAGGGGAGTGTCAAGGGACGTTTACTGGTGTCAAAGTTATAACACAGAGAGATGGGAGGGGAGTGTCAAGGGACGTTTACTGGTGTCAAAGTTATAACACAGAGAGATGGGAGGGGAGTGTCAAGGGACGTTTACTGGTGTCAAAGTTATAACACAGAGAGATGGGAGGGGAGTGTCAAGGGACGTTTACTGGTGTCAAAGTTATAACACAGAGAGATGGGAGGGGAGTGTCAAGGGACGTTTACTGGTGCCAGAGTTATAACATAGAGAGATGGGAGGGGAGTGTCAAGGGAAGTTTACTGGTGTCAGAGTTATAACATAGAGAGATGAGAGGGGAGTATAAAGGGAAGTTTACTGGTGTCAGAGTTATAACATAGAGAGATGGGAGGGGAGTGTCAAGGGAAGTTTACTGGTGTCAAAGTTATAACACAGAGAGATGGGAGGGGAGTGTCAAAGGACGTTTACTGGTGTCAAAGTTTTAACATAGAAAGATGAGAGGGGAGTGTCAAGGGACGTTTACTGGTGTCAAAGTTATAACACAGAGAGATGGGAGGGGAGTGTCAAGGGACGTTTACTGGTGTCAAAGTTATAACACAGAGAGATGGGAGGGGAGTGTCAAGGGACGTTTACTGGTGTCAGAGTTATAACATAGAGAGATGGGAGGGGAGTGTCAAGGGACGTTTACTGGTGTCAAACTTATAACACAGAGAGATGGGAGGGGAGTGTCAAGGGACGTTTACAGGTGTCAAAGTTATAACATAGAGAGATGAGAGGGGAGTGTCAAGGGACGTTTACTGGTGTCAAAGTTATAACACTAGAGATGGGAGGGGAGTGTCAAGGGACGTTTACTGGTGTCAAAGTTATAACACAGAGAGATGGGAGGGGAGTGTCAAGAGACGTTTACTGGTGTCAAAGTTATAACACAGAGAGATGGGAGGGGAGTGTCAAGGGACGTTTACTGGTGTCAAAGTTATAACACAGAGTGATGGGAGGGGAGTGTCAAGGGACGTTTACTGATGCCAGAGTTATAACATAGAGAGATGGGAGGGGAGTGTCAAGGGACGTTTACTGGTGTCAGAGTTATAACATAGAGAGATGAGAGGGGAGTATAAAGGGAAGTTTACTGGTGTCAGAGTTATAACATAGAGAGATGGGAGGGGAGTGTCAAGGGAAGTTTACTGGTGTCAAAGTTATAACATAGAGAGATGAGAGGGGAGTGTCAAGGGACGTTTACTGGTGTCAAAGTTATAACATAGAGAGATGAGAGGGGAGTATAAAGGGACGTTTACTGATGTTAGAGTTATAACATAGAGAGATGAGAGGGGAGTATAAAGGGACGTTTACTCGTGTCAGAGTTATAACATAGAGAGATGGGAGGGGAGTGTCAAGGGAAGTTTACTGGTGTCAAAGTTATAACATAGAGAGATGGGAGGGGAGTATAAAGAGACGTTTACTGGTGTCAGAGTTATAACATAGAGAGATGAGAGGGGAGTATAAAGGGAAGTTTACTGGTGTCAAAGTTATAACATAGAGAGATGGGAGGGGAGTGTCAAGGGAAGTTTACTGGTGTCAAAGTTATAAAACATAGAGAGATGAGAGGGGAGTATAAAGGGAAGTTTACTGGTGTCAGAGTTATAACATAGAGAGATGAGAGGGGAGTGTCAAGGGACGTTTACTGGTGTCAAAGTTATAACATAGAGAGATGAGAGGGGAGTATAAAGGGACGTTTACTGATGTTAGAGTTATAACATAGAGAGATGAGAGGGGAGTATAAAGGGACGTTTACTCGTGTCAGAGTTATAACATAGAGAGATGGGAGGGGAGTGTCAAGGGACGTTTACTGATGCTAGAGTTATAACATAGATAGATGGGAGGGGAGTGTCAAGGGACGTTTACTGATGTCAGAGTTATAACATAGAGAGATGGGAGGGGAGTGTCAAGGGACGTTTACTGATGTCAGAGTTATAACATAGAGAGATGGGAGGGGAGTGTCAAGGGAAGTTTACTGATGTTAGAGTTATAACATAGAGAGATGGGAGGGGAGTGTCAAGGGACGTTTACTGATGTTAGAGTTATAACATAGAGAGATGAGAGGAAAGTGTCAAGGGACGTTTACTGGTGTCAGAGTTATAACATAGAGAGATGGGGGAGGGGAGTGTCAAGGGACGTTTACTGATGTCAGAGTTATAACATAGAGAGATGGGAGGGGAGTGTCAAGGGAAGTTTACTGGTGTCAGAGTTATAACATAGAGAGATGGGAGGGGAGTGTCAAGGGACGTTTACTGATGCTAGAGTTATAACATAGAGAGATGGGAGGGGAGTGTCAAGGGACGTTTACTGATGTCAGAGTTATAACATAGAGAGATGGGAGGGGAGTGTCAAGGGACGTTTACTGATGTCAGAGTTATAACATAGAGAGATGGGAGGGGAGTGTCAAGGGACGTTTACTGATGTTAGAGTTATAACATAGAGAGATGGGAGGGGAGTGTCAAGGGACGTTTACTGATGTTAGAGTTATAACATAGAGAGATGAGAGGAAAGTGTCAAGGGACGTTTACTGGTGTCAGAGTTATAACATAGAGAGATGGGAGGGGAGTGTCAAGGGACGTGCACTGGTTTCAACAGTGGCTCTCTCACAGCCACGAGTTTAAAAAAAAAGATCATGGACACAAATGACTGGTTACATCCACGAAGCGACATATTGGACTGGGTAAACCCTTATACAGACATGCCCCATGTGGGTTTTAGGACCTCTTTGTAGAGAAAACAGGGTAGATACACTGCATAGCCAACAAGCGTGTAGTCATAGACTTAATGGAAGTTTCCTTGGAAACCAGAGTGTATTTGCATGAGAGGCAGGAAACCAACTGTCCATGCAAGAATAAGCTAGATCTTTCAAACGGATGTGTAAGCAACACAAAGGTTCTGGAACACGATACAAATCCAGAAGTAGACAAATAAGTAAAAAAAGTAAAGATCCCTTTACACGCCTTTAGGCGCATCGGGCATATGGGAAGAGCACCCATTTTATTACAGACCAATCGGCACTCGGTGGGTAATGTGGTTAGCATTACGCCTTGGAAAGCTTTACTTTGCCTGGACAGCCCATTGTGATACCCATTACCAGAGTTTAAAGCCGGTGAATGCCAGGACTTTCCACCAGAGTTTACATCCGGTCAATGCCAGAACTTTGCACCAGAGCTTACATCCGATCAATGCCAGAACTTTGCACCAGAGTTTATAGCCGGTCAATGCCAGAACTTTGCACCAGAGTTTACATCCGGTCAATGCCAGAACTTTGCACCAGAGTTTACATCCGGTCAATGCCAGAACTTTGCACCAGAGTTTACATCCGGTCAATGCCAGAACTTTGCACCAGAGTTTATAGCCGGTCAATGCCAGAACTTTGCACCAGAGTTTATAGCCGGTCAATGCCAGAACTTTGCACCAGAGTTTACATCCGGTCAATGCCAGAACTTTGCACCAGAGTTTACATCCGGTCAATGCCAGAACTTTGCACCAGAGTTTACAGCCGGTAAATTCCAAGAAGAAGAATATATCCAAGAATGGACTCAACCGAGTGGTCACATCATAGAAAGGACATAAATGACTGGTTACATCATAGAATGGGCACAATAGGCTGGTCATATCTAAGAAAGGACATAAATGACTGGTTACATCATAGAATGGGCACAATAGGCTGGTCATATCTAGAAAGGACATAAATGACTGGTTACATCATAGAATGGGCACAATAGACTGGTCATATCTAAGAATGGACACGACAGACTGGTTACATGTAAACAAAGACCTGAAAAACCTGGTTAGATCCAAGAATGCATATAGCAGACTTGTTACACCCACGAAAATATATAGCAGACTGGTTAAATCCAAGAATTACCAAACTAGACTGGTTTTCTCCAAAAATGTACAGAATAAACTGGTTTTTCCAAGAATGGATTTAGTAGAATGGTTACATCTAAGAATTAGTACCTGTTGTTTGGTGATAGTTGTCGCCAATGTGGAGAAAGTCCTGGTTTACAAAACTCCAATAGGGCACTGTTCGAAATATAAACAAATGTTTGAGTTGAGAGAGTAGCCAGCTACAAAATGTAACCATAAACTAAATTACAGCACAGCACCACCTACTACAAAACCACACATGTCTATCAAAATCACACGTCACTTTTTTCACCTATAGGTAGATGTCAATCGACACTGGAGAAGAGGACAATTGACACAGGTATATTGCTAACTGGAGAAGAGGACAATTGACACAGGTATTTTGCTAACTGGAGAAGAGGACAATTGACACAGGTATATTGCTAACTGGAGAAGAGGACAATTGACACAGGTATATTGCTAACTGGATAAGAGGACAATTGACACAGGTATATTGCTAACTGGAGAAGAGGACAATTGACACAGGTATATTGCTAACTGGAGAAGAGGACAATTGACACAGGTATATTGCTAACTGGAGAAGAGGACAATTGACACAGGTTCATTGTTAACTGGAGAAGTTGACAATCGATACAGTAGTAAGAGCGGTGCGTTTACTGTGTTTGGATTGTTAGGGAAAGTTATGCTGCATATTTCAGAGCCTGAAAGTTCTGGAGATCAGCCAGGAAATCAACCTGACCTCTCCACTGTCCAAGACCCATTATCTGCAATTTCGCTATTTCAGTCCTGCTACTGCTACCTTGTCTGAAACAGCCAAAGGTGCGAACATTCTGAACATTTCTCAAAATAAATAAAGTAAAGCACAAGTTGAAGAAGTATGCATTTGATGTATCCTCTGTGTTCTTGTTGCGTCTCTTGGCGAAGTCTTGTGTATGTTAAATGTCTGACTGAAAGTTCGGTTTAGTTTTAGATGAAGCTTGCAAATTGTCGGCGTCGACTTCTTGTACTACTTCTGCCAGGCTGGTGAAAGGGGAGTCGGAGTCATCGATGACTAGTGGTGGTGTTTCAGAAAACAGTTCGTGTCTGGTGTTTTTGTTTGTTTGGGTGGGTGGGTGGGTGTGTTTCTTGTTGGGATCCGGGAGTTCAGCTGGGCGTCTGTGGGTTGGGGGATTTCTCTTCTTTAATTTTCCCGAGCTAGTATCCTCCGTGCTTCTTTTCCTGTCTCTGGCCTTCCTCTTCATTGCCATTTGGCTTCTTTCTATAGTTAGTATTGTCTGGAAGGCTATTGTCCCCCGTGTGGGTTCCGGGGCCCTACTATGGGAAAAACAAGAATAGAACCACTGTCTACCCAAGGGCATGTCGTAAGAGTCGACTAATTGGGAGCTTCTCTCGAAGTCGGAGTGCATATGCCTGAGAGGCAAGGAACTAACAGTCTGCATACAGATCTGTCAAACGGATGCACACGCAACACTCAGGTTCTAGAACAGGACTGCAGTCTAGAAGTGGACGAACAACCAGAACTTTCCGCAGGAGTTCACAGCCGGCGAACACGAAGAAGAAGAAGGAGAAGGGTGTTGTATTTGTCCCTTCGATCTGGCCGCTTTGAGTTCTTCATGGAGCGTGGGGGTGATTTCGAGTTGTTGCCGCTCCATTGGTAGCTGGTTGACTTGGTCCCTCTTCTCTCTCGTCTGAGGGCATTCTTGTGCTGGCGGTTGTTGCCGCTCCATTGATAGCTGGTTGACCTGGTCCCTCTTCTCTCTCGTCTGAGGGCATTCTTGTGCTGGCGGTTGTTGCCGCTCCATTGGTAGCTGGTTTACTTGGTCCCTCTTCTCTCTCGTCTGAGGGCATTTTTGTGCTGGCGGTTGTTGCCGCTCCATTGGTAGCTGGTTGACTTGGTCCCTCTTCTCTCTCGTCTGAGGGCATTCTTGTGCTGCCGGTTGCTGTACCTCCGATTCAGTCGAGATTTCTGATTCTTGTCCTTTGTTTACCAGCCTCAAACTGGACGTTGACTTGGGTTAATGTGACATGTTTAGATGAAGTTAAGGATTCGCATTGGTTATCTCCTTGTTTCGTCTTGTTGGCCTCCCGTTCCTTGTTCTTGTTCGTGTTGGTTGATTCTAGCAGCCGGAAATCTACCTCTTTTACACGGGCCTCCTCTTTCGTTTAAGTAGAGCGTCGTTTCCTGTTTGAGCAGCAATGAGCCCAATGCTCGTCCGAGCTGCAAAACAGGTATTCAGTCCACCTGCCAGGTATCTTCACTAAAGTTTTGGTGGTGTTCATTTGGCATATCTGGCCCGTGAATATTAGGATAATTGGGTATGGGCTTCGTCTCGTTGACGAGCGCTACCAGTTTTCCACCACCGTTCCTAAGTTTGACAACTCATGGATTTCGAAGAGAGTAACCGTTTTCTTTACAATACTTTCTGTTGCCATCCCAGGTGGATAGTCCATAAGTAAAGGTGTTTTATCTTTCTCCTGATGTTTGAATAGAACGTCTGTTCCTTCGACCGAGAAACCCCTGGCATGAAGGTGACTGCACACCTTGTCGTGGTCTACTTGGACCTGGTTGGGGTCGCAAACCTGTACGGGCACTCGGTGTAAGCCTAAGAAAGCCCTGGCGCCTGTGTCACCGCGCCCAGTCCGAACAAAGAAATCGCAATAAGTCCACCGGGGTATGTGTTTGAATCTACACAGATAGTGACAGCTCCCACCCTGGAGTCGTGGTGAGATGTGATAAGTTGACGTGACGTATGTCCTATCTAATCTGGCAGATATGTTGTGAGTTGTGTTCCACGTGATACAATTCCAGCCCTCAAAGGGAATTGAACCCGGAACCTCTAGCACTCGAGGCGGACACTATGTCTCAAGACCACGTAGCCCTACGCCACATGTTTTACTGATAAACTACAACTGCTGTATGAAAGATAGTTCTGCTTTAAAGGGCCAAATGTAAGACGGTCCTTCGTACCCAGTTTGTGACTCTTTGAAAATAAAGTTTGCTTGTTCGTTTTATCCTCTATTTTCCACGTGGAGGGACCCTCTCAGATGAGAATTTTGGTTTTTCCCTTCATTTTTATGTGGAGGGACTCTACCTCTCCGGGGTGAGGATTTGTCGTTTTTTCCTCCTCTTTTTGCCATATGGAGGGACCCTTTTCAATATGAGGATTGTCGTTTTTTCTCTTTCTATGTAGACCGTAAAGTGATATGGATTATGTCACACTATTACTACTCCTTGTTATGGTTAACTGGAGAAGTGAACAACTGTGACAGGCTCATTTTAAACTGGAGAAGTGAACAACTGTGAAAGGCTCATTGTTAACTGGAGAAGTGAACAACTGTGACAGGCCCATTGTTAACTGGAGAAGTAAACAACTGTGACAGGCTCATTGTTAACTGGGGAAGTAAACAACTGTGACAGGCTCATTGTTAACTGGAGAAGTGAACAACTGTTACAGGCTCATTTTTAACTGGAGAAGTGAACAACTGTGAAAGGCTCATTGTTAACTGGAGAAGTGAACAACTGTGACAGGCTCATTGTTAACTGGAGAAGTAAACAACTGTGACAGGCTCATTGATAACTGGAGAAGTGAACAACTGTGACAGGCTCATTGTTAACTGGAGAAGTGAACAACTGTGACAGGCTCATTTTTAACTGGAGAAGTGAACAACTGTGACAGGCTCATTGTTAACTGGAGAATTAAACAACTGTGACAGGCTCATTGTTAACTGGGGAAGTAAACAACTGTGACAGGCTCATTGTTAACTAAAGATGTGAACAACTGTGACAGGCTCATTTTTAACTGGAGAAGTGAACAACTGTGAAAGGCTCATTGTTAACTGGAGAAGTGAACAACTGTGACAGGCTCATTGTTAACTGGAGAAGTAAACAACTGTGACAGGCTCATTGATAACTGGAGAAGTGAACAACTGTGACAGGCTCATTGTTAACTGGAGAAGTGAACAACTGTGACAGGCTCATTTTTAACTGGAGAAGTGAACAACTGAGACAGGCTCATTGTTAACTGGAGAAGGGACAAACTTATCAATATAGCATAGCGACATATTTAATCAAGACACTGTGACAACAACAACAACACAAAAAGAAAGAAAGACATATTAAATCGCATATACAGGTGAGTAAATCAGTATTACAGTGTCGTCTCTGAACGTCCTTCTATACTCAAAAAAACTATTATAGCGCAGGTTCACTAATCAACGCCCACATACATAGAATTTTAAAGCATATTATGCAATACAGTCCTTAAGAAGGAGAATAGGGGCATTTGAGCTGAAATGCTATAGAAAGATTCTCAGAATATCTTGGACAAAGAAGATGAGAAATATTGACATCTTAAAACATCCTAACATCAAGCAAGATTGGCTAATAAACAGCATCCTTTCTCGAAAGCTGAAATATTTTAGTCATATCAAGCGCCACGACGGATTAGAAAAAATTATAGCAGAGGGACCGAGTTTCTTTCAGGCAGACTGTGATGAGAGCGACGTTCTGCAAAGGACTTGCTACATGCTGATGATGATGATTATGCAATAGCATCTATGAACGCCTACAAAAACAGAGCAATATAAATGCCATGTAATATTATATGTGAACACCCACATATACAGAGCAATAATAAATATCATATATTATCAAATATGAACGCCTTTATACAAAAAAGTAGTCGAATCTTCCAGAACGGTACCTACTGTAAAGCGATGCCATCCTTCCAGTCTGTTGTAAAGTTGGAGACAGTTAGGGGCCTCAGTGCATTCTGGAACCAGGTCAACATCAACCTACTTGGTGGAGCCTTGGCTTTGCTGGAGGTGATCTGGTAGCGGATGATCAGGCGCCACAGCAGGCCTAGGATAAGCTTCAGGTTCCCGCCCACAATGTCATCAGTGCCTGAAACAGTGTCATCGTTCAGTAACACCGTCTCTTTGTAAGGGTGACTGAAACAGAGTCATCGTTCAGTAACACCGTCTCTTTGTAAGGGTGACTGAAACAGCGTCATCGTTCAGTAACACTGTCTCTTTGTAAGGGTGACTGAAACAGCGTCATCGTTCAGTAACACTGTCTCTTTGTAAGGGTGACTGAAACAGTGTCATCGTTCAGTAACACCGTCTCTTTGTAAGGGTGACTGAAACAGCGTCATCGTTCAGTAACACCGTCTCTTTGTAAGGTTGACTGAAACAGCGTCATCGTTCAGTAACACCGTCTCTTTGTAAGGGTGACTGAAACAGTGTCATCGTTCAGTAACACCGTCTCTTTGTAAGGGTGACTGAAACAGTGTCATCGTTCAGTAACACCGTCTCTTTGTAAGGGTGACTGAAACAGTGTCATCGTTCAGTAACACCGTCTCTTTGTAAGGGTGACTGAAACAGAGTCATCGTTCAGTAACACCGTCTCTTTGTAAGGGTGACTGAAACAGTGTCATCGTTCAGTAACACTGTCTCTTTGTAAGGGTGACTGAAACAGTGTCATCGTTCAGTAACACCGTCTCTTTGTAAGGGTGACTGAAACAGTGTCATCGTTCAGTAACACTGTCTCTTTGTAAGGGTGACTCAAAGAGTAGCAGTCATTTAAATAATACTGTGTGTATGGGTGACTGAAAGTGCTGCAGTCATTTAGATAATACTGTCTGTATGGATGACTGATGGATGTCTGAAACAGTCCAATCATTCAGATTATACTGTCTGCTATTGTAAGTTCCTAGTTAGATAACGCTGTCTGTTTGTATGGTTGCCTAAAACCGTGCACTCATTTAGATCATACTGTCTGTTTGTGCGGGTGCCTGATACAGTGCAATCATACCGATAAGGCTGTCTGTTTGTGCGGGTGCCTGATACAGTGCACTCATTTAGATCATACTGTCTGTTTGTGTGGGTGCCTGATACAGTGCAATCATACCGATAATGCTGTCTGTTTGTGTGGTTGCCTGATACAGTGCAATCATACCGATAATGCTGTCTGTTTGTGTGGGTGCCTGATACAGTGCAATCAAACCGATAATGCTGTCTGTTTGTGTGGGTGCCTGATACAGTGCAATCATACCGATAATGCTGTCTGTTTGTGTGGGTGCCTGATACAGTGCAATCATACCGATAATGCTGTTTGTTTTTGTAAGTGCCTGATACAGTGCAATCATACCGATAATGCTGTCTGTTTGTGTGGGTGCCTGATACAGTGCAATCATACCGATAATGCTGTCTGTTTGTGTGGGTGCCTGATACAGTGCAATCATACCGATAATGCTGTCTGTTTGTGCGGGTGCCTGATACAGTGCAATCATACCGATAATGCGGTCTGTTTGTGCGGGTGCCTGATACAGTACAATCATACCGATAATGCTGTCTGTTTGTGCGGGTGCCTGATACAGTGCAATCATACCGATAATGCTGTCTGTTTGTAAAGTTGGCTGAAACCAGTTTTAAAAAAATAGGATAAAACACTGTAAGCATGCGTGAAAGTGTGTATTTTGTGTGATGTGTGTTGTGTGTGTATGTTGTGTGATGTGTGTTGTGTGTGTATGTGTGTGTTGTGTGTGTATGTTGTGGGATGTGCGTGTGTTTTGTGTGTGTGTGTGTTGTGTGTGTACGTTGTGTGGTGTGTGTGTTGTGTGTGGAACAATTCAATCATTCGGATAATGAGTAATATGTATGTATACATGATGCAAGTGTTTTCGCGCGTGTGTGTGTGTGTGCGTTTCTGCGTGGAGCATACCTGTCTCCATACCTGTCTGCCAGGAGCATACTGTCTCCATACCTGTCTCCGTACATGTCTACAAGGAGCATACTGTCTCCATACCTGTCTCCATACATGTCTACAATGAGCATACTGTCTCCATACCTGTCTCCGTACTTGTCTGCAAGGAGCATACTGTCTCAATACCTCTCTGAAAGGAGCATACTGTCTCCATACCTGTCTGCAAGGAGCATACCTCTCTCCATACCTGTATGGACGGAACATACCTGTCTCCATTTCTATCTGCGTGGAGCATACCTGTCTCCATACATGTCTACAAGGAGCATACTGTCTCCATACCTGTCTCCATATCAGTCTGCAAGCAGCACACCGTCTCCATACCTGTCTCCGTACCTGTCTGCAAGGAGCATACTGTCTCCATACCTGTCTGCAAGGAGCATACTGTCTCCATACCTGTCTCCATAACTTTATTTTCAAAGGGTTACAAATTGGGCACGCAGGCCCGTCTTACAATCGGTCAATTTGTAACCCTTCGAAAATAAAGTTTTTTTGATCGTTCCTTCATTCGTTCGTTCGTTCGTTCGTTCTCTCTCTCTCTCTCTCTCTCTCTCCCAAAAAAATGTTGAACACACCCACCAACTCACCGATATTAACTAGTTTGACGTTGTCGTCTGCTATGGCCTGTAGAGCCAGGGACACATTGTGTAACATCTGGATTCTGGTTGACGGCTTGGAATAAACTTTCCCAATCTTCTGATACTGTAGCGCCTCCACCAGTGCCACCAGATTGACTCCATCACAGAGATCAGAAGCCAGGTTGTCTATAGATCTGTTGCCTGCAGATTGTGTCAGTGTGTAGACTTAGTCTCATTAATTGATTACACTGCATGATTGCTTTAATTGATTGAATACGTCATGCAGCACAGCTATCAATGTTTTCTAAGGCGGACTCTAGAGAAACTACAGGTGCACGCTCAAATCAGCAAACATCGCCCAAGAGAAAACGATCAGTGGTATTCAATTGTAACGTTAGCAGACACAGCAGTGGTATATACTTTAATTACGGACCCTAAAAGGGGGCGTGACTTACTCTATATTCTAGATATTACTCTCCAATTGACTTTATTAAAGGAAAAAAAGATTGTTATAGCCATATGGTCTCAAGAAAGAAAAATGTAGCACAGCTTTGTTCTTTGCATATGATGTCACACCCAGGTTCGTCTTTAGTTTGCTACAGGCGGTGTCTGTTGAACGCGAATAGACGAGGTGAAAGATGCTCGTGTCGATAATGGTGATGGTGATGATATATTGCTTGCTGCATGCTTCTCATGTCCCTGATGCTTGTATAATAAAAATATTAATATGTCTTGAAAAGCTCTTCTTGTCTATTCTGTCTTTATTGTGATACCTCAATAATGCCACAAATAACATCAAGATATTCTGAATGGCCGCTCTTTTGGCTCTATGATTATATGCTCTTGAAGGTGCGTTGTGTTCTTTATCTCTAGTTAACAAACTGGTTCTAGTGTCTGTAACTACAACCTGGCTTCTAGTGCTGTCTGGTACTAACAATTTGATCGTCGAGTAATATTTCTATAAAACATGATTCTGTTCACTATGGATCCATGAATCTTGTGTTGTCTCTGTAGTTCCATGTGTCATTTCATGTCTTCCCTACAGTGTACGACTTTGAGGCTCAATGTGACTGACTTCTCTTCTTGTAGTGTTGAGCTGGCATCCCCACAACTGCGACGGTCAATGAGACTAGTCCCTCGTCCTCGGAGTCTCAACGGCTTAAGGTTGCCCATGCAGCTTCTTGCCCACTATTTATCCTGAGATGCTGGAATGCGTGGTATGTTTTTGGTTTTTCAGAAGATTCTTGCCTTGTAAAACTTGTTTACTATGTATATTCTCACGTTGGATTTTCTAACTGCATCTCTGTTGCATCAAATTGTTCCTAAATATACTCATTTGTTTGGCCACTGGCTTTCTGTGGATTTCTAGAGTTCTACTGAGTTCTCTTTGTTAGGGCAAGTTTAAAAACATTAACTTAGACACTATTTTTAGATTATTCATTTGCAAAATATCTCTGCAAAAAAAAAAAAAAAAAAAAATAGTTTAAAACTGTGCCCTCGGCACCTCCAGCCAACTGAGGCCACTGAGAAACTCCAGCCTGCCATCGAGAGAATCATTCCTTGTCCCGTCGGAGTACATGCTCGTCGTAGGTGATTCCAATTCCTCCTGGCCAACAACAAGAGTCCAAGACTTCGGTTGTTAGAAAAGACCTCACGAAAACTGGAACGGTTTCTCGTTCCTTCTGGATTCTTCTTCTGTTCAGACAAAACTCTGAGCCCGACAGAAAGCACTGTGTCTGCTCTGCGGGTGCAGTAAGACCTCGTACAGTCAATCTAGTTCGGTGCATGTAGCGGCGTTTAACCGTTTGCGTAATGCAATCTTATTTGGCCGGCATCCTCAAGGTCTCTCTGCCTCCTGTTTTTCTCATTCGTGACGCCCAGCTTCGTCTTCTATGCTGTCCTTAACTGACGGGCGCAGTGAGAGTAAATAATGTCACCAAACAGTGATAGCTTGTCCTCTAGCCACGATTTCTGAAACTCACCATCGGTAACCTCCCATAAAGCACTTTCCAGCTAACTATTACCCGTCGCAACAGTGAGATAAAACTAGACAAACGGAACAATGACCAGTGATGCACTTGATCTGAAGTTAGGCTGTAGCTTCAAAGCGAACTATCTATTGCAACACTAGCAACAGATCCAGCACAAAACAAAGTTTTTAAACTACAGTTAAGACCTGGTTAAAACGAACTCTCTTTGGAAAATCTAGTGGCTAACATGAACACAATTTTGGTTGAAGACAAAGAGTATACACCAGATCAGACTACTGTGCATGCCATGTTGGTTGGAAGACACCATTTATACACCAGATCAGACTACTGTGCATGCCATGTTGGTTGGAAGACACCATTTATACACCAGATCAGACTACTGTGCATGCCATGTTGGTTGGAAGACACCATTTATACACCAGATCAGACTACTGTGCATGCCATGTTGGTTGGAAAGACACCATTTATACACCAGATCAGACTACTGTGCATGCCATGTTTGGTTGGAAGACACCATTTATACACCAGATCAGACTACTGTGCATGCCATGTTGGTTGGAAGACACCATTTATACACCAGATCAGACTACTGTGCATGCCATGTTGGTTGGAAGGCAAAATTTATACAGCCATATATATACATATTAGTGTGTGTGTATGTGTGTGTAACGCGAACAGGCTGTTCAGTGAAGACAAAATTTATACAGCCATATATATATATTAGTGTGTGTGTATGTGTGTGTAACGCGAACAGGCTGTTCAGTGAAGACAAAACTTATACAGCCATATATATATATATTAGTGTGTGTGTATGTGTGTGTAACGCGAACAGGCTGTTCAGTGAAGACAAAACTTATACAGCCACGTAAGACAAAGATAAATATGCTACAGAATAAACCAACTGTAAACGCGCTATTGGTTAAAGACAAAAAAAATTTTTTACACCCACTGTATATGGTTAAACTAATGAACCAACTGTTCATGGTAAACCAAATGAACCTTCTGTAAATGATAAACCTAACAAACTTACTTACATGGTAAACCTAATAAACCTACTGTAATGGTAGACATCAAAACCTACTGTAAATGGTAAAAACAATAGACCCGATGTAAATATTACACCTATAAAAAAACTGCTGTAAACGGTACATCTAATAAGCCCTTTATGAACAGTAAAACAAATAAAGTAATGCAAATGTTACAACTAGTAAACGTAACGTAAACAGTATAACGAATAAACCTACTGTAAATGGTAAACCTAACAAACCTACTGCAAATGGTAAAACTAATAATTCTACTGTATATGGTAAACCTAACAAACCTTCTGTAAATGGTAAACCTAACAAACCTACAGTAAATGGTAAACCTAACAGACCTACTGTAAATAGTCAACCTAACAAATCTACTGTAAATGGTAAACCTAACAAATCTACTATAAATTGTAAACCTAACAAACCTACTGTAAATGTTAAACATAATACATCTACTGTAAATAGTAAACCTAACAAACCTACAGTAAATGGTAAACCTAACAGATCTACTGTAAATGGTCAACCTAACAAACCTACTGTAAATGGTAAACCTAAAAAATCTACTGTAAATCATAAACCTAACAAACCTACAGTAAATGGTAAACCTAACAAACCTACTGTAAATGGTCAACATAACAAACCTACTGTAAATGGTAAACCTAACAAACCCACCCTAAATGGAAAATCTAACAAACCTACTGTAAATGGTAAACCTAATAAACCTACTGTAAACGGTAAACCTAATAAATCTACTGTAAATCATAAACCTAATAAACCTACTCTAAATGGTAAACCTAATAGGTCTACTGTAAATAGTAAACCTAATAAATCTAATGTAAATGGTAAACCTAATAAATCTACTGTAAATGGTAAACCTAATAAACCTACTGTAAATGGTAAACCTAACAAACCTACTGTAAATAGTAAACCTAACAAACACACTGTAAATGGTAAACCTAGCAAACCTAATGTAAATGGTAAACATAATAAACCTATTGTAAATGGTAAACCTAACAAACCTACTGTAAATGGTAAACCTAACAAACCTACTGTAAATGATAAACCAAATAAATCTACTGTAAATGCTAAACCTTACAAACCTACTGTAAATGGTAAACCTAACAAATCTACTAATTGTAAACCTAACAAACCTACTGTAAATGGTAAACCTAATAAATCTACTGTAAATGGTAAACCTAAAAAAAACTACTGCAAATGGTAAACCTAAAAAATTTACTGAAAATTGTAAACCTAACAAACCTTCTGTAATTGGTAAATCTAACAAACCTACTGTAAATGGTAAACATATTAACCTACTGTAAATGGTAAACCTAATAAACCTACTGTAAATGGTAAACCTAACAAACCTACTGTAAATGCTAAACCTAAAAAATCTACTGTAAATGTTAAACCTAACAAACATACTGTAAATGGTAAACCTAACAAATCTACTGTAAATGGTAAACCTAACAAATCTACTCTAAATGGTAAACCTAATAAATCTACTGTAAATGGTAAACCTAACAAACCTACTGTAAATGGTAAACCTAATAAATCTACTGTAAATGGTACAAACAATTGACCCGCTGTAAATAATACACCTAAAAACTGCTGTAATAAGCCCTTCGTGAACAGTAAAACAAATAAAGTAATGCAAATGTTACAACTAGTAAACGTAACGTAAACAGTGTAACGAATAAACCTACTGTAAATATTAAACCTAATAAACCTACTGTAAATGATAAACCTAATAAATCTACTGCAAATGGTAAAATTAACAAACCTATTGTAAATGGTAAACCTAAAAACATACTGTAAATAATAAACTTTCTGACCCTACTGTAAATGGTAAACCTAACAAACCTAACGTAAATGGTAAACCGAATAAATCTACTGTAAATTTTAAACTTAGCAAATCTACTGTAAATGGTAAACCTAATAAACCTACTGTAAATGGTAAACCTAATAAACCTACTGTAAATGGTAAACCTAATAAATATACTGTAAATAGTAAACCTAACAAACCTACTGTGAAGGAGACAATTGATAAACCTACTGTGAAGGAGACAATTGATAAACCTACTGTGAATGAGACAAATGATAAACCTACTGTGAATGAGATGTTCGTTTGCCCAGTTGAGAAATGTCTTCTGTTGTATGACTAGCCATTGGTCTTGTGTGGACACAGAGTTCATAGTGGTACTCCGGTGGTCCGACAGGATGTAATTTGGCCCCTGTGGGATATAAAAGACGACGAGGCTGAGGATATCAAACGTGTCCTTACATTGTGGATGATGAGGCTGAGGATGTGAAACGTGTCCTTACATTGTGGATGATGAGGCTGAGGATATCAAACGTGTCCTTACATTGTGGATGATGAGGCTGAGGATGTGAAACGTGTCCTTACATGTTAATGATGGTGCTGAGGATATCTTCTTCTTCTTCTTCGCGTTCACCAGCTGTACACTCTGGCGGAAAGTTCTGGTTGCTCGTCCACTACTGAACTGCAGTCCCGCTCCAGGACCTGAGTGTTGCGTGTGCATCAGTTTTACAAATCTCATTCTCTTGAATACAGACTGTTGGTTCCTTGCCTCTCCAGCAGATGCACTCCGATTTCAAAGGAAGCTCCCCAATTAGTCGACTCTTACGACATGCTTTTGGGAAGGCAGTGGGTCTATTCTTGTCTTCCCTACAATGGGGCTGAGGGCTGAAATAACCACCAGCTCGTGTTATTAGTTCTAATGTCCACCTGCTGGTGTTATTAGTTTTAATCTCCACCTGCTGGTGTTTTGGTTTTAATCTCCACCTGCTGGTGTTATTAGTTTTGATCTCTACCTGCTGGTGTTATTAGTTTTAATCTCCACCTGCTGGTGTTATTAGTTTTAATCTCCACCTGTTGGTGTTATTAGTTTTAATCTCCACCTGCTGGTGTTATTAGTTTTAATCTCCACCTGCTGGTGTTATTAGTTTTAATCTCCACCTGCTGGTGTTATTGGTTTTAATCTCCACCTGCTGGTGTTATTAGTTTTAATCTCCACCTGCTGGTGTTATTAGTTTTAATCTCCACCTGCTGGTGTTATTGGTTTTAATCTTCACCTGCTGGTGTTATTAGTTCTAATCATCACCTGTTGGTGTAATTAGTTAAACTGCTTTTGCTGCTAGTTCTTATGTCCAGTCGATCGTGTTGTCAGTTCTAATGTCCATATGATACCTGTTATTGCCACCTGCTTGTGTGCTAGTTCTAATGTCCGCCTGTTCGTGTTTTTATTTCTAATGTCTACCTGCTTGTGTTGCTAGTTTTAATATTGATCTGATCGTGTTGCTATTTCTAATGTCTTTCTGCACAGGTTGCTAGTTTTAATGTCTATCTGCACAGGTTGCTAGTTTTAATATCTATCTGCACAGGTTGCTAGTTCTATTGTCTATCTGCACAGGTTGCTAGTTTTAATGTCTATCTGCACAGGTTGCTAGTTTTAATGTCTATCTGCACAGGTTGCTAGTTTTAATATCTATCTGCACAGGTTGCTAGTTTTAATATCTATCTGCACAGGTTGCTAGTTTTAATGTCTATCTGCACAGGTTGCTAGTTTTAATGTCTATCTGCACAGGTTGCTAGTTTTAATGTCTATCTGCACAGGTTGCTAGTTTTAATGTCTATCTGCACAGGTTGCTAGTTTTAATGTCTATCTGCACAGGTTGCTAGTTTTAATGTCTATCTGCACAGGTTGCTAGTTTTAATGTTTGTTAGCAGCCGTACATTGCTTCAGGTGTTCGTTTTGTGTAGTTTTGTGTCCGCGTTATCCATCCTGTGACTGTCTGTGCGTCTGTCTGTCTGTCTGTCTTCTCTGTCTGTCTGTCTGTCTGTCTGTCTGTCTGTGTCCGCCTAACGTAACACTCTTTCTGGTATGGAGCTTTAAGCAGCTATACCACGCTAGCTAATCTCAGAACAAGCTTAAAATGTGTGGGCACTTCAAATTTAACAATAATAGAAATATTTCTTCATTTAGTTTTTTTTTATTGTAGAAATAAGGGAATTCTTGTTCAGGGACAATGCGTCTTTTGTTCCTCCACTGAGTTACCTGGGCCTCAAAATATAGCAGGTGAAAGTATGGCTCCAATCATGACAATGGCACAACGCTTCAGTTTGGTTACCGTTATAATATATGTATAGAGCTTTGAGTGTCGGTACAGTTATTGGTATACGACGTCAAGTGTCGGTACAGTTATGACAGTGGTATATGGCTTTAAGTGTCGGTTCAGTAATGACAGTGGGATACGACTTCAAGTATCGGTACACTTATGACAGTGGTATACTTCAAGTGTCGGTACAGTTATGACAGTGGTATTCGACTTCAAGTGTTGGTACAGTTATGACAGTGGTATACGACTTCAAGTGTCGGTACAGTTATGACAATGGTATACGACTTCAAGTGTCGGTATAGTTATGACAGTGGTATACGATTTCAAGTGTGCCTTAAAAAAGCGCCGGAACTTACACAAAGTTCTCTTACAATAGCACTGAAAACAGATGCCTTTAAACAATAGCAGGTACAGCGTACTGTTGCGTACCGATAGAAAAAAAAACACTAGCCCCTGTTTAAATTATTTTTAGAATGTCCACAATCTTTAACAACACACTGACTCATCTGCCCTTGATGTTTATATGTCCACAATTTTCAACAACAACTTCATCAGGTGCCTTGCCAACTGTCCAGGATTCACAGCCATATGTTAAAACTGGATGTATGTAGCAAGCATGAATTCTGTTTCTAACTCTCAATGACAAGGATATATAGCATAAGATGTTCTTTATCTTATCAAATGCAGTTTTTGCCTATTATAATCTATTTCTTATCTCAGTAAACCATCTTCCATCTGATGTTATCCATGTGCCTAGATGCTTACATTTCTGTCATCACCCTCACGTAGCAGGTCCTTTGCAGAATGTCGCTCTCATCAGTCTGCCTGAAATAAACTCGGTTTCTCGCCAGTTCTCCCGCCTCATGTACTTTCATACTCAAGGAGTCACTTATTTCCTGTGCCCATCTTCGTATCGGTCGGCCCCCTCCCCCTCCTTCCTGGTACCATGCCCTCTGCTATAATCTTGTCCAATCCGTCGTGGTGCTTAATAAGGCTAACATATTTCAGCTTCCGAGACAGAATGCTGTTTATTAGCCAATATTCCTTGATGTTCAGATCTTCAGTATTTCTCCTCTTTTTCGTCCAAGATATTCTGAGAATCTTTCTATAGCATTTCAGCTCAAAAGCCCCTATTCTCTTTCTTAAGGACTGAGAGATAGTCCACGACTCACATCCGTATGTAGCCACAGGGAAGATTCATGCTCTCAAAATTCTAATTTTGATCTCCTTGCTGGTGCCTAACCATAGACTTAAGGCTGTTTAATCTTTGCATCGATACGGCCATCACCTTTTAATTTCTGTCAAACAGTCTCCATTGCTATTTATTATAAAGCCTAGATATTCAAAGTTTGCAACATTTTTAATTTCTTCACCATTTATTGTTATTTTGGGGGACAGCCTTTTTTTTTTCTGTGGACATTATTTTCGTTTTCTTTAAATTCAAGAGCAGATTTAGATCTTCACTGTACTTTTTGACAGACAATATTAAATGTTCTATTCCCTTTACGCTGTTCGAAAGGAGGACTGTGTCATCTGCGTAGCGAAGTTCCGGAATGGGGTTGCCACCCATTTTGAGTGGATCATAACTGTCACAAGTTTGGCCATTTTTGACATTTCGCATTATGTTTTCTGCGTATATATTCAATAGATATGGTGAGAGAATGCACCCCTGCCTAACTTCCATTTGCACTTCAAACCAGTCCGATGTTTCACCAGCTGCTCTGATGGCTGCTTGTTGTTCTTAATACAGATTTCCAATTAAATGCACCAAATGCGCTGGAAACTCCATACTTATCATAATAGTCCACAGTTTGTGGTGTTGGACACAATCAAATGCCTTGCTATGATCAATGAAACAAGCAATGAAGATCTTCGTTTTATTCTCTACGTGTTTCAAATATCATTCTCGTGTTAAAGATGTTATCCCTAGTTCCTCTACCCTGTCTGAAACCCTCGTGTGCTTCATCTAGCTCATATTGTAATTTCCTTTCAATCCTCTTAATAAAAATTCGTAAGAGTATTTTGCTAGCATGACTTATTTGTCCGATGGTGCGGCAGTTGGAGCATAGTTTCAAATTTCCATTCTTTGAGAGTGGGATATAGACTGTTCTTTTCCATGCTTTAGGCCAACTGCCACTGTTCCAGATCTTCGAGCACAGTGCATGGTAGATTCAGACGCTGGCCTCTCCTCCTGCTTGAATTAGGTCTGCTGGTATTTCGTTGCAACCTGGTGACTTTTCTTTCTTCAGGCTGTGTATTGCTGATTGTACCTCATCCAGTAAAGGCGCTGGATCTTTTTCATAACTTTCATAAGTTGTTTTTAGATTACTTGTCAGATCCTCATACATCTTTCTACAGAATTCTTTCCATCTTTCTAATATGTCTTTAGTTTCCTTTAATCTGTTACCGTTTTTATCACGTAATACATGAAAAGAAGGCCTGCATTCGCCATTCAATGTTTCTGTACTTGTCCCAAAATAACATCATCGACTTTTATTACACATTAAGGAATAAGTCGTCTCTTTGATACCACCATTACTTCTGTCTTCCCATTATTCAAACTGAGGCCTATTTTTCCATTTTTTATCACCACAATGTCTATCATTTCCTGTAGTTCTTTCTGACTTGTTGCTATTAAGACTGTGTCATCGGCGTAACTTAAATTGTTTATATTGTGTCCACCAACCACAATTCCGGGCATATCAATTAAATATCTCATTAGTTATTCAATGTATATTGAAAACCAATAAGGTGACAGTACACATCCTTTTCGTACGCCCCTCTTTATGCTCTGAAATGTAACTCAACAGTTGTTTTTTCTTATAGCTGCTAATACATATTCTTTATTATTCGTAGATCTTGTCCATCAAGGTTTAATTTTTTCTTAGTTTGATTACTTCTTCATTAATACACATCCTCTTGTGAGATGCAATTTTTCGTTATTTTGAAGCGCCACCCTAGCTTTTGCCATGGCCGCAATATAGCCCGGCCATGAATATGGCCTAATGCCTGAACGCGGTTTCTGGGACCTCTCCACGGGTAATCCTTATCCGCA